TCCTCGAAGGAGAAAGATTCTCTCCCCTCCTAATCTCTCTTCCTTTCACTCTCCTCCTATTTAAACAGTTACGGTTTAATCACGTTAACATCTTATGTTGATTTTTTTATATAGATAAGACAAAACACAGGGAAGATAAAATAATGAGAATATGAGGGAAGAATCCTCCTCCAATCCTCCAAAGGCACTTTTCTAGTCCCGAGACTAGATTAGAGACATGCTTTCACGTGTCACATTTCCCACCAAACATCTCTATAAAGCATTGGAGGAGAGCTCCATCACCAATCGGCAGCTGAGACCAAAGCTCTCTCTCCCCTCCCCCTTCTCATGGCCGCTGCTCAAGCAGCTGCAGCTGCTCGGCCATGTTTCATGGATCCCGAAGCAGCCGCCAAATGCAGCATCACAGTGTCCAGCAGGCAAACCATTCATTTCTCGCACCATGTAAACCTACCTCATTCCTTCTTTTTCCCTCAGATTCATATATGCGCCCTTAAGACGCTATCTTAAGTAAATAACGCACTGCCATGCGAGAAAGTTAAGACGCATTAGCAGTCCGTTGTTTGCTTGGGAGGCATCCCAGTGTAGATAAGTTCTCTCCTATGTATGACATGTCATCTAATATCCTTCTCCTTTGGGTGAACAGAGGCCTCAGTTGTGTACACTTTCCATGAATGGTTGCCATGGAGACTCTCACCTCCCTTTAGGCACCGTTGAAACGCGCTCGTTTCCGGCGGTTCCATCACCTTCATTGGCTCTGGACCGGCTCAGCTCCGCCATTTCGGAACTGAAATCAAACCCGCCTCCGTCTTCCTCCGGAATTATACGTCTCCAGGTAAGTTTAAAATGCTCAATGTCATTCAAACTCAATTCTTACTTGCTCCTGTTCGGTGTGATCTTCTCTCATCTGTTATTGCCTAGTAGGCCAAAAAATGCTTTGTTTTTAGAGCAATGGGATTGTGCCACGTGGCTGGGTAGCATTGGACGGCATGGGCTACATCCCTATCCCTTATGCTGCACTGCTTAGCACAATGCACATGATATCATATGACATAACGAATTGCCTTTGGTTGGAAAACAAAAAAACATACAGATTACAGTAACAAAAACTAAGTAGAAAATTTCTCTTGATCTCTGATCGTTAAAATATTCTTTCATGTTACAACGCGCCGTATGTAGACTAGTTATACCATGTGACTGTGTTTTAGTACCATGTAGTAATTAATCTTTTAACTCATGTACTAGTTATACCATGTGCATTGTGTTTTAAGGTGCCAATCCAGCAGCAAATTGAAGCAATCGACTGGCTTTACGCCCAAAACCAATTCCTTCCGCGCTGTTTCTTCTCCGGCAGATGCCAAACTGGTCATTTTTCTGATCTTTCCATTGATTACACTAACGGAAATGACCAGAATCAATCAAAACACAAGTTGGTCAGCGTTGCCGGAGTGGGGTCTGCAGTTTTCTTTCAGGATGTGCATCCCTTCTCGTACAGGCATTGGAAGTCCTTAAAGAGGTAAAACAAGAAAACATATTGCGACAAGTTCAGTGTCCTTCCATTTAACCTTCATATTTTTCTCTAACTGTAGCTGGAGCGGAATACATATGGACAACATATCAGTAACATATCGATAACATAGCAATTGTCATATTGATATCAACAATATAAACAACATATCAATAGTTGATATGTATTTATATATTGTTGAAATCGTTGCTGATATGGATACCGCCCCACTTACAATTGAGCGCGCGAGCCCCCCTATGAAGGGGAATGATTTTCAAAGTCGAATATATAAACTCAAGTCTAATTTTCTCATCTCTTGACTGAAGGTTCCTCTCTACAGAATGTCCACTTATTCGCGCTTATGGGGCAATCCGTTTCGATGCAAGAGCCAACATATCATCTGAATGGGAGGCATTTGGTTACTTTTATTTTATGGTTCCTCAGGTAGAACAATTATTTGCTTTCGTGCAGTTGTTTCAATCCATAAAACGTGTTTGAATTCTCGTAAGTATTTATGCCATCTGCTGCTAGATACTCAATGACAGGTTGAGTTTGATGAGCTTGAAGAAGGTTCAATGCTAGCAACAACCATTGCGTGGGACAATGCGCTTTCGTGGAATGTAGGACATGCAATTGATGCACTTAAAGCTACGATGCATCAGGTTCAGATAATCTGACCGAGTTAAATCTGCTTCGTGTAGTATTTATTGAAGATATTCATGTTTTATTTGTATATGAATTCTTTTGAATATGCAGATATCTTCCATTGTTTTAAAGCTTCGAAGACAAGTTCCTTCGACACTAATGTTACGGAATAATAACATCCCGTGCAAGACGTATTGGGATCTTGCTGTTAATAGAGCTTTGCAGAAAATAAGAAGCAACTCAGCGCTTATTAAGGTACTAGCAGCAGATAGTACACGCGCGTAACAGCAGAAAATAAGCGAAGGTGCGTCTCAATGCTGTTAATAGAGCTTTTCGGTGTGTCAAGCTTGTTTTCAGTACTGAGATGCACCTTTGCTTCATCTTTCTCTCTCCCTCCCTCATTAACGAATCATCTTGTGTTGGGAATTCAGGTGGTACTCGCGCGTAGCAGCAGAGTAATAACAGCTACTGATATTGATCCCCTAGCATGGCTAGCGTGCTTACAGGTATTTTTTTTTTTCTTCAAGCTATTAACCGGTGAATTTTCTCCGTAAAGTAATAAAAAGTTATGATTGCTACATCTGAGCTAAACTTCTTCAGGTTGAAGGTGAAAATGCTTATCAGTTTTGTCTTCAGCCGCCAAATGCACCAGCGTTTATTGGAAACACGGTAATTGTCTCGAAAAGAAAAAATTACACACTACAACCTATTTTATCTTCTATGATCGTCTTGAAAGTTGTTTGATTTTTGATTTTGATGATCCTTGTGAATAGCCAGAGCAACTGTTTCACAGAAAATGGCTAGGCATTACTAGCGAGGCTCTGGCTGGAACCCGAGCCAGAGGTGAATCGATGCCTGAAGATCTTGAAATAGAACTCGAGTTACTTTCCAGGTTTAACTCGACCTTTCTTATTCATTTTCGTGATGTTATACTTTAATCCCACTGCTTGGAATAGTCTTGCAAGTATCCAACCTCAGCGTCAAACGAGCATGGAATCCATGAGAATTTCTCTTACATCCATAATTTTAATAAGTTTCAACTAGTTAACAGCCAGTAACATTCTCTTTGCAGTCCGAAGGACCACCTTGAGTTTACCATTGTACGAGAAAGCATACAACGAAAACTAGAGGCAAGTTTACTTTTGGGTACTTTTATGTCTGAAATTTCGTTGTTGATTTCATTTAATGGGGAATAAATCAATGCAAATACTGAAATCTGTAAACTGAAAGTAAAAATCGCGGTACTTACTTTCCTGTTTTGCAGAATGTATGTGACAGTGTCCAAGTTGAACCAAAGAAAGCAATCCGTAAATTCCCTCGAGTCCAACATTTATACGCTAAATTGGCTGGCAGGTTAAGAAGTGAAGATGATGAGGTAACTACATTGCATTGTTTTACTTGTATTCTGCAATCCACTAGCTTTATTTCTGAAGGATATGTTCAATTTCCGCCCCATAGTCCGTGTCGAATTGAAGTTTTACGAGCTATCTGTGTCGATCTTTCAGTTTGACGTATTGTCTTCTCTTCACCCAAGTCCAGCAGTTTGTGGATTTCCAACAGAGGAGGCACGGCTTTTAATTGCGGAAACAGGTCCATCTTGCTACTACTTTGTTTTTGTTTTCTGTACGCCTATAATCCTTTGGCTCTATATACCCAATTCATCTAGCTGTTTTGGCTCAAATAGAAGATTTTCTTGAAGACTGAGATTTCTTTATATTCACAAAATTCTTTCAGAAGTATTCGACCGAGGGATGTATGCTGGGCCGGTTGGTTGGTTTGGAGGAGGGGAGAGTGAGTTTGCGGTTGGCATTAGGTCAGCATTAGTGGAAAAGGTAAACCAAGTGTATTATTTTGCATACACTCTTTTAGATAGGCATGTCTTCATTAGCACGCCGAACTCGTAGCACTGACCCTTCTGGATTCTAGGGTCTCGGCGCGATGATCTATGCTGGAACCGGCGTTGTGGAAGGAAGTAATGCATCGTTAGAATGGGATGAACTCGAACTCAAGATTTCTCAGGTGTGTGTTTACTTTCAAATTTGCATTAATGTGTATAAACAAGCATTGAGCATGAGAGTAGAGGCTTCAATAAAAGTTTTACATGTTTTGGTCAATGATGCAGTTCACCAAGTTGCTTAAACTTGAAGTGCCTCTAGAGATAAAAAGCTGATATACCGCGAGGACTATCAACCGAAAAAGGTCAGCGCAGTTCCGAAGTTCTCAGTCAGCATTCTTTGATGACGATATAATTTTTCGTTGGTTGCTTCCTTGGGTGATTTCCCCAATGGCGAGCGTAAAACAGATTTGATTTGTAAAAGTAAAGTAGAAAGTCGAATAACCTTTGGAGTCGGGTATTCTTTTCGCACTATATATTATGGATACAAAAATAATGAGAAAATTCAAATTCAATACTGTCAACTGATCGGAAATAGGATTTCATAAGTGAGAAGGTAAAATTCAGAATATGTCATTGTATCTTGGCCAATGTTTTAGAAGGCTCGCCTCAGGGCGCGCCTAGGCGTCCTGTGAGGCTGGGCTAAGGGTTGCCGCCTCTGTTTTGAGGGAGTGGGCGGCAGGCCGCCTAGGTGCGCCTCAAGGGGTTTTTTTTTTTTTTTTTTTTTTTTTTTTGTGTACTCCCAAACCCAAATTTTGGGTAGGATTTTAACTGCCTCATACATCTTCCTTGCACTATCATCAGTCTGCTTTTTTTTTCTGATTTTTATTTTTTTATATAATGGATGTGTATGCTGTCTACGTGCTTTGTTATGTGTGTGCTCATTGTGTTTTTCATCCTCTATTATATATATATAATATAATATATGTATTTATAATATATGTGTGACTCAGGGTGATTATTTATTAATAATTTTTTTTTAATGTAATATATATGTATGCTCAGTGTATATATTAAAAAATTTAAGTCCCGTGAAGGTTCGCCTCACGCCTAGGCTGGGCTATCCCTCAGATGCCTCGCCCACACCTCACGCTTTTAATACATTGATCTTGACTGGAAAGAACAGATTAAATCAACTGCAATCAGAAATTTACATTTCTGTGTATACACCTCAAGTTAATGTTTCCCAAATTCTATCATGTAATTTTCCCTTCTACCCCCAACCTCGATCGAACTTTATAAGAGGACAGTGTTTTCTTATTACTCTTCACTGTCTACTGCTACAAAAACCTCTGTGTTTTCAACAGGGTTCAGTTTGAGATTCATATATTTATATACATATTTGTTATGGTTGTTCAACATATACTCTAGCATGGCTTCCCTTTAATGCATTTAAGAGGACCTGCAAAGTGTGTGAGCTTCGCCACGAATGTCCCAGGCTTTGCCTGGATCATATCCGCCTCTGGGAGATTCCTGATTGGGCTACCAGATTCAACAAAGAATGCTCCATTCATCATAAGATCGTTCTCCGATCTCCAATTCCACGATTTCCACACATTCTCTGCTGCATATTCCCTCTTAGTCACCTAGATAACAAGAAGAACAGCATCGAAAATTAGTACTTGTGAGTAATTTTTTAAGAACAAGTACTACAACTACTGTTTTACCTCTTTACTCGCTTCATTTAACGGAGCAATGAAGCGGTTGCCCTGGCTAATTATGGTAGGATGTTGGCTGCCACCAATAGCGTACATAAGCCAATGCGTGTAGTCGTTGTTTACAACATGGAAAAACCCCCACCGGCACCTTGGCATACGCTGAGTTAACCCCTGACCGAAATGGTTGAAAGCAAGAGTTATCTGCATCACTTCATCCTGAGAGTTGCTATCACTTGAACCAAATAACATCACCTGCATCATGAATCAAAACGACACAAATTAGTCCATAAAATGCATTTTTTCACAAAGGATTGGTCTCGATTTGAATGTAATAGATGGATTTTTACATCATTGTGATTGGTGAAGTGACAATTGGATATGGTGATGGCTGTAGACCCCTGGATGGCATCAATGAGTCCATCCTCGCAATTTGACGCGGAGACATGGTCTATCCAAACGTTTGAGGCTCCATACATTGATATACCATCACCATCACTACGTGTGCGTTGTCCATAGTGATTCACCGAGTCCCTAATCATGCCACCATTTCCTGCCTTGTTATCGTGAATGTGGAGGTTATGGATGATCACATTCTTCACAAACTGTAGTGTAATTTGGCCACCGTCTTGAATGTGCACATTAGCACCTCGCGCGTCAATCGTCTTGTCACTCGTCACCATAAGCTCTTCGCTTAGCTTTATCTTCATGTCGTGAGCGAATATGATCCAGAGTGGCCCAGTTTGAATCACAGCGTGGCGTAGTGTCCCTGGTTTCGGGTTCACGAGGTCATTGTCGGAGTTATCTGTCACCACATATATTTCTCCAGCCTTGCCTCCTGTCGTCTTGTGCCCAAAGCCTTGGGCGCAATCAGCCAGCTTCTTGCGATTTGTTTCCCAGTTTGGATCGCATCTCCAGCAACGATCAATAGGGTTTGTAGCCAGGCATGGACCCTTGTACTTCTCTTTTAAGCTCCTTCGCGTATTGTTCATGCTATCGAAGGTGCTGCTTCCATTAGACAAAAGCTTGTAAACAAACATTTCGAAACCAAAAAATAAAGACGCTTTGCAAATCGTAGTACATGATGAAACAACATTGACTTTGGTTTAAAAAAAGCTTGTTTCTTGTGCAACAAGGGACTTACTTGTGGACTTCCTTATTGAAACTTCCAGTGACTTCTGCAGGATTTTTATTGTAGGCTTTGTTGGCGGCCTGCTTCGCTTCTTTAGCTCGACCTTGCCAGTGCTCGTCGAAAACCACAATGTTGGCTGTCACCGTTGCCGGAATTGTTATTATAACAATAAAAATACATAAAATAAACACATTTAGCTTGTAAGCAGCTTCCATTGCCATCTCTCCTCCCAAATTTTCACCTTAATTTTCACCAAAATTTATTAATTTTCATAAATTATGGGTGTGAAACCAGACCTACCAGACTGCTAGGGTTTGAAGTAATGGATTTAATTTTCAGGGCAGGGTAGGGCAAGTTTCCATGGCTAATTAGTTTTTTTGTGTATTTCAGAATTATAGTGGAGATGGTTATGCAGAACTAGATAAACTAAATGAAGCAAAGAAATGGGAATGAGACGTGGGGAGGGAAGAAAGGGGAGCCCCTCTCCCCTTTCAACGGTCGAAATTCTTATTTGCCTTCTAATTTCTTATGCTTATTGAATGAGCTTTAGTTATGTTGTCTTCCTTTTCTTTCCCTTCTAATTTTATACAATCTCTCTTGACCACTTCTCGAGAGTGTTACTAATAGTCAAGATCTAAAAAAGAAAATGGTATAAAATGTTGTCTAAAGTATATATATGCAACTTTATAAAACGAGGTAGAAACATACGTATTATACTAACTGATTACATTGTCGATCATATTTCTTTTAATTATCAAATTAACTTGTATACTATAAGTCTATAACGATATGAACAAATGTAGTAGAACTAATTTGATTGAACACTAGAATGAGGTAGCTATTTTTGAAGAATGTAAAATATTTCACTAAAAAATTTGATAGAATAAATTTTTTATTGAAAACCCGAATATGATAGGAATTAACTTAATATATGCATTAGTGATACATCTAATCCTCAAACTTGAATGTCCATGTAAAACACGTTACTATACGTGTTTTAAAAATGACTGAAAGCGCTTTAGAAAAAATATTTTTGGGTTTCAAAAGCACGTGAAGTGCTTTCTACAAGAAGAGCCAGTTATGTGCTTTTTGTAGAAAGCACTTCAAGTATTTTTCAAATATTCACTTGCATTTTTACTAATTAAGATTGATCCTAAAAATATTTTCACCAAAAACATTTTAAACCATTTTAAAAACACTTTTAAATGAGTCCTTAACTACGAGCCTAGGGCCATGTCTGAAGCATGCAGGTATCATTAACTTCGGTTTAATGGAAATCAAAATCTATCTTTCCGAATCAGATATATATGTAGAAAGATCTAAAAATTCTTAGGTCATTTCTAATATTAAAATTATAAACCGCCGCCGCAAAGACAGAAAGAGAGAGGTGTACGTAGTCTGGAGTTTGGACGCAATGAAAGCAAGGAATGCTGTCCTTTTTCCACATGTTGAAACCCCAACAAGCCACCACCCGAAACTTGACATGCAGTCCAGCCCACAGCACCCATCATGCATCATCCATGCAGAAATATTAAGTTTGGAATATCCAAGATCGAATGCCTGCCTCCATCTTCATTTCCCACAAGGAAAACCTGTTATTTTTTCTGACTTCTTCAGCTAGCTAATTGGTATCCTTCCCCTGTATAATCCTTGAGCTATTTCCATATCTATATACAAAGCATTACACTGATCATTTTAATTAAGACGCAAAGCAAGCTCTTAATTAAGTTGTTATAAAGTTCAGTTTGTATTAGTTGACCATTGATGGCAGATATCAGAGGATCAATGAGAGCTATGGGAGAGAGATTACTGCCATCGACACCCACACCCATGCGCGAAAAGATTGTTCCTTCCTCAGACTGGACAGAAGACTCCAATGGCCATTACCTTCTCGTTGATCTTCCAGGTACCGCAATATTACAGCATCTAATTGTTCTCTTAATGTTTTATTGTTTCATTTCTTTAAGAAAAGCATAATGCATGTGTGCATGCTCTAATATTCGACTCGTATAAAATAAACATATAATTATATCCTATAGAAATTAGCTATATGTGTTGACATAAATTTATGGTGCTTAACTATACAACTGTGTCTTAGATTTTAAAAAGGAGGAGGTCAGGCTTGGGGTGAATATCTCAGCTGGCCACATAACAATCAGCGGAGAAAGGCAAGTGAACGGAAAGAAAACCGAGTATTTTGAGCAGAATTTTACCCTTCCACCAAACTCAGATGTTGATAAGATCACCGGAAAATTTGACGGTGAGATTCTCTATGTCACTGTACCAACGGTGGCAACAGCGGTCGAAGAACAAAGGAAAGAACCTGAAACAGAGTATGAAAATGTCCAAGGCGGCGCCGCTGCTGTCACGGAACCTCCTCAAATAGAGAAGAATGAAAATGTGGAAGGCTTAAGACCCAAAAATGAAGGAGAGCATGGCTCAAACAAAGTTGATGGCATAAAGTACGGAGAGATAAGAAAATTATTAGGAGAAGGAAATAGGCACATATTCTTTTCAGCGGAGGATATAAGGAAATGGGAGGAGGAAGGAGGGAATATTATAAGGACTGCAATGGAGATGTTGAACAAAAACAAGGGGATAGTTATGACTGCTGTGGTTGCATTTTCATTAGGGATGCTAGTTTCTCGTAAGTTCCAATCAGCCGGAGAATGAGCTAATTAAGGCTAATTAAGCTGTGTGTTAACTGTTAATTACGTGTCATCACATCGTATGGTTGTTGATATAAATGTACAGAATAAAAATTTCAATCAATAAGTTAATCCTCAGCTATATTTCTACGAAAAAAGGTTTAATCTCGTTTGCGTTTTGTCTTGAAATATTTTGAGCGTGATGATCACATTGTCACATGGTGTTGTTAATCTTATTTCTTTTGCCCGACTTTGTTGTTGGATAGTAATATCCATTTGGGTGAGACTTGGGCTGGCCGGCTGTTATTGCTCGTCGAAATCCGCAATGTTGGCCGTCACCGTTGCCGGAATTGTTATTGGAAAAATAAAAAATACACAAAATAAACATAGCTTGTAATCAACTTCCATTGCCATCTCTCCTCTCAATTTCACCTTAATTTCCTTATTTCCCTTATCTTTTGTTCAAATTTTTTCTCAAAAGAATTTTTTTTTCCTATATTAACGGGTGTGAAACCAGACCTTCCAGACTGCTGGGGTTTGAAGTAATGGATTTAATTTTCAGGGCAGGGTAGGGCAAGTTTCCATGGCTAATTAGCTTCTTTGTGTATTTCAGAATTACAGTGGAAGAAAGAAAGAGAAAGGTATGCTTAATTAATTTTTTTCAAAACACGCTACTGTAACCAACTTAACTATGAGTGCCTAGGGCATGTCTGAAGCCTGCAAGAATGATTAACTTTTGTATAATGAAAATCAAAATCTATTTTTCCAAATCAGATATGTGTAGCAAGATCTACAAATTCTTAGGTCATTTCTAATGTTAAAATTATAGACCACCGCCGCAAAGACAGAAAGAGAGAGGTGTACGTACGTAGTCTGGAGTTTGGACGCAATGAAAGCAAGGAATGTTGAAACCCCAATAAGCCACCATCCGAAGCTTGACATGCAGTCCAACCCACAGCACGCATCATCATGTCATCATGCATCATCCAGGCAGAAAAATTAAGTTTGGAATAACCAAGATCGAATGCATGCCTGCCTCCATCTTCATTTCCCACAGAGAAAACCTCTTAAGGTTTTGATAAAATCATGACTTCTTCGGCTAGCTAATTGGCATCCTTCCTCTATATAATCGTTGATCTATTTCCTTATTTATATACAAAGCATTACGTTGATCATTTTAATTAAGACGCAAAAGCAAGCTCTTAATTACATTGTTTCTACAAGGTCCAGTTTGTATTAGTTGATGGTTGATGGATCAAGCTGGTATCAGAGTAATCAAATCTGGTATCAGAGCATTCCCACGCGAACACTGGTACAAAACGATTGTTCCTTCCTCAAAATGGACAGAGGACTCCAACAGCCATTGCCTTCTCGTTGATCTCCTAGGTACTGCAATATTACAGCATCTAATTGTTCTCTTAATGTTTTTATCATTTCATTGCTTTAAGATAAGCATAATGCATGTGATCGAGCACGCTCTAATATTCGACTCATATAAAATAGACATGACTAACGCAGGTCACGTGGTGTTACACTTTCATAATTTTATTGTAGAATTAGCTATATGTGTTGACGTAAATTTATGGTGCTTAATTATGTAACTGTGTCTTAGGTTTTAAAAGGAGTAGGATTTTTTTCCCTCTTTTTTTTTCCTCCCCTTCTATCCCCTTCTATTTAAACGGTCACGGTTAAGTCACGTCAACATCTTATATTAATTTTTTTTATAAAAGTAGAAAGACAAAATAGAGAATATAAGAGGAGGAGATAGAAAGAGGAGGAGAGAGAATCTTAATCCGTTTTAAAAAGGAGCCTCACTGTAGCATGTCTACTTTAACTGGCAAGATAATAATCAGCGGAATGAGGGAAGAGAACGAAACGACATCCGAGCATTTTCGGGAAGTTTTCACCCTTCCACCAAACTCAGATGCCGGTAAGTACACCGTAAAAGTTGTCAATGAGATTCTGTATGTCACCATATCAAAGGTGGCAGCAGCGGTCGAAGAACAAAAGAAAGAACCTGACATAAAGTATGAAAATGCCCGATGCAACGCCGCTGCTTCTGCAGAAATAATTAAGGAAATGGATTATACGGACTGCAGTGGAGATGTTGAACAAAAACAAGGGGATAGTTATGACTGCTGTGGTTGCATTTTCATTGGTGATGCTGGTTTATCGTAAGTTCCAATCAGCTGGAGAATGGGATGATTAAGGCTAATTAAGCCGTGTGTTAACTGTTAATTAAGTTACATCACATCGTATGATTATTGATATAAATGTACAGAATAAGAATTTGGATGAATAAGATACATCGTCAACTATAGCTTTGACATTAGTCGTTATAAATGGAAGACGGTTTGATCTCGTCGATTTTGTTGTTTCAGCTTCAGCCTTGCGACGGTACTCCTTCCAAAATCCTCAGTGGTTGAATAAGGTGCAACGACCAATGCTTGTGTCCGAAAATACTTTTGAGTGCACCGATCATACTGTGACGTGATGTTGCTAATTCTATTTCTTCTATCCGACATTGCCGCTGGACGGTAATATCCATTTGGGTGAGACTTGGGCTGGGCTGTTTGTGGCTGTGGACCTAGTTTCACAAACACTGTACAATAGGCCCAAAATGTGAGATTGGGCTTGTAAACCGCAGTTGCATAGATGAAAGATGAGAAGTGAAAGGAGGGAGAGGCAAAAAAGTAAGCTAAAAACAGAAGGGCATCAATTTAAAAACGACTTTATGATGTAAGTAGGCAGGCAGGATCGGATTCTTCGAGCAAGCAAACCCACTAATTGAAAAAGTCACAAAGACGACCACATCACCGTGATGCGGGATCGAGAAGCTTCTTTGAGATGCGCGCCCAAAAGATTTACTCACTCGTATTTATCCTCCTGAAGTCCTAAAGATATCTAGGACTAGGAGTCTATAGAGATTTTTCCATTTTGGCCAAACGCAAGTCATATGTTATTATATAAATTAAAAATATTTACTTTTAAGTGTTCATTTATTGATATAATAACATATGATGTGTGTGTGTTCTTGTTTCGAGCATATTAAAATCTTTATTTAGTATAGTGACATACGCACAAATATATAATTAGTAAGTATACCACCAGACCCAGTACACATTGCAAGCAGCTTAATTTCCTTCATCGTACAATTTCTATACCAAGTGACATGCTAGCGTAGTTTTGGTCTCCAAGTTAAAAGGTATGCCAAGTTAGAGCTAATGACCCCAAGAAATGCATCAGCGGGAGTTCAAACTCGGGTTGAGAGTTTTAAACTTTACATGCTTTTCACTAGACCAACTCCTTCGGCTTAACTAGTTAAATTTTTTTAATCAAAAGTAAAATTGAAAAGATTTTAAACACAAACAATAAAATCATATGTGAATACAAATTTATCACTCTTTTATTGTATGTTTAATGTACCCTCAAGTTGTCACTTTTTATTGAGCGTGTATATATAAAAACAGTAGTGGTGAGTAGGCTTGACAATTTCTTATATGATTCACCGACACGAAATGGTACGAAAATAACGAGTTTTAAGTTAACATGTTAACAAGTTAGGTCGTTATCGGGTAACCCATTAAGAGCCCCTTAACATGTCAGGTCGTTATGAGGTCACTCATTAAGAATTCGATTAGATATCGTTTTTCAGATTTAGGCATTAGGCACAACTATTTCTTACATGAGTCAGTAACCTGACACAACCCCGTAAACGAATTAGCTTGTTACTTAGTCACCTGATAAAACTCGTTAAGATAACAAATTTGGCATAACACGATCCGTTAAAATAATTAGTATTAAACAAAAATGATATGAGCATGACAAAAATGACTCTTTTGCCAGACCTAATGGTGAGTCCAGGTGCTTCCTTAACACACTTGGCCATACCACGTATAGATATATGGTAACATGGTATGGTCCGTATGGAATATGAGTTAGTTTTTGACAATGGAACGTCGTGTTCATATGTAGTAAGGAGAACAACACATAAAGATGTACTAAAAAGGGGATGCTTTGTGACCCGACTTTGTTTCAAAATGTTCTTGCTTTTCAGTAAAAGGATAGGCCCATTTTGGTTTTCGAATCATGTGCCTTCTCCACACTACTACTGCACCAGTACTACTATGGCATATATCCTATGTGAGGTACCATATCACCAATGTTCATGAGATCACCCACGCACCCAATATCGGATGCAGGATTTGAATTTTGAAGTGTCATAGTGTTAAAGTACAAGTTTTTTAGGCAAATAGTTTATTAACTAAGACATTTTGTCGAACATTTGATGAGTTTGTTGTCGTTAACCAAATCATAATGCGCACATATCAACAAATTTCTACATATGCTTAGCAAGTATTGTAACAAACATGCCAAACATTCAGAGAGTACTCGAAACTCAAAAGATTTTCACATGTATATTTTCCATACTTTGAGTATCTAGGAGACTATAACCACTTTGACCCTAATATACATCCGACCCTATCAATAGGCTCGAGTAATTTTTAATACAACCGCGACACTGTCATGCAACGTTGTTAATCTACATTATTATCGTTTACTCTTGCACTAAAAATATCATATATTAATAGATTCACGTCGTTCTCATGTTTTCTTTATTAAAATTGTGATGATCCCCAAATTCGTTTGGAGGGAATATATTTTTGATTGGCATGCAAGGCTGGTCTTAAATAAAAGCATACATTAAACAAATAGATTATAAAAATAAAAAAAATGAATTGTTATTAGCACTCAAAAATTCTTATTCTGCACTCCAAACTTTCTATATTTAAAAAGAAAAATACACTTGTAAGGAGTGTAAAATGATATTTTTAGAATGCCGCCAATAACACTTTCCTAAAAAAATAGAGGGGAAAACATGAACAAAAGAAGGATAGGGAGGGAGGGATGTGTAAATTATAGATAGCGAACCCAATAAAGAAGCAATTCCAAAAGTGAATTGAAAACCTTCGCGAGTGAGAATGGAATATAATCTATCGCCCCCACTCCAACCCAACCAAAAAAAAAATTCCCTTCTCTCCATGATTATTTACCCTTTGTGAAGGTAAAAAATTCTCACGTTGGTAAAAAAAAAAAAAAAAAAAAAAAAAAAGAAAGAAATGTAGCCATGTTATATAAGTTGTTGAGTTATTTCTTTTATTACCAATTGATTTTATGATAGAGTTTTAACTTTTTTCATAATATCAGAGCAAATTAGCCTATATGTGAAATCCAACGGGTAGACATTGGTAAAAAAAAAAAAAAAAAAATATATAGAAATGTTATATAAGTTGTTGAGCTATTTCTTATATTACAAATTGGTTTTATGATAGAACTTTAACTTTCTTGATACATTGCAAATTGACCTATGTGTAAAATCTAATGGTTGCCTGTACTCTACGTCACTTAATTTGTGTTGTTCACACGTTTAGCTCGAAAATTCGCCAGAAATCCTTATAATGACTTCTTCATGCTATGAGTCTATGAGAGTAGATTGGTCAACGTGGGAGTCTAAAGACCATACGTGCTCAACGTCACCCAATATATGTTGTTGCTATTTTGCGGAGTTTCATTTTTTTTTTTTTTTGAACTTTAACGAAAAATTCTTGGTATTGTTCATTTTAACAAAAAAATCACGTTTTTACACTAAAAATTCAATCCTGATACTATTTATTTTACCTTTTATTTTATTTTTATTGTTAAAACTCAAGATTTTCAATCTGTTTCCGTTAGTTTTCCGTTTTTTTTTTTTTCTCACATTCTAATTTATGGTGTGAAAAAAAATAATATTAAATACAAAGAGAAATAGTATGTTAAGTACAGAAAGAACCGTGCAAATTGCAAAAGTTAAAAAAAAGCGCAGGCACAGCTCAAAAGCAGAACCCCAAAAACCCATCAGTCACACGCACCGCTTCCCATTTCTCTCTCCCGCTATCAACGCCCAATTAACCAACTTTTCTGTCCCGAAACCTCCAAATTCCCCTTCGTTTTTTCAACACCAAAACTGACACCATCCACGATGAGACCATGACGGTGTCGTTTCAAGTCGTCCAAAACCATTCACCGCCACAACCATCCCAACAACCCCCACACCAACCCCAACAACCACCTCCGCAACAGCAGCAACAACCACCGCCACAACAGCAGCAGCAACCACCGCCACAGCCGCAACCACCATCCGAACCGCCGCAGCCGCCAAGTGTCGTCAGGAAGCTAATCGTCGAAGTCGTCGATGCACGTGACCTGCTCCCCAAGGATGGCCAGGGCAGCTCCAGCCCCTACGTCGTCGCCGACTTCGACGGCCAGCGGAAGCGGACCTCCACCAAGTTCAAGTCGCTCAACCCTGTCTGGAACGAGCCTCTCGAGTTCATCGTCTCCGACCCTGACCACATGGAATACGAAGAGCTCGAGATCGAGGTGCTCAACGACAAGCGTTTTGGGACTTCCAGTGGCAGCGCCCGTAAAAACCACTTCCTCGGGAGGGTAAAGCTGTACGGCACACAATTTTCGAAGCGTGGCGATGAGGGACTGGTGTATTTCCAGCTGGAGAAGAAGAGCGTGTTCAGCTGGATAAGAGGCGAGATTGGACTGAGGATTTATTACTACGACGAGATGGTTGAGGAATCGCCTCCGCCGCCAGAGGACCCTCCGCAGGAGAAGCCGAGATCTCAGCCTCCGGGGGTTGTGGTGGTCGAGGAGGGAAGGGTGTCTGGAGCCCATGGAATGCCGGTTGAGAACACAATCCACCACAAAGGCTCGCACTCGCCGCCAGTTGTGGTGATCGAGGAGTCGCCGCCGCCGATGGTTTATGTGCATTCTGAACCGCTGGTTCAGGAGATGTCGAATCACCAGCATCATCAGCATGAGGAGGTTCAATTTCAACCAGAGGTGAGGAAGATGGAGATGAACAGAGTCGGTTTGCCAGGTGAAAGAGTGAGAATCCAACGAAGGCCAAATGGAGACTACGCTCCGAAAGTGATTTCTGGAAAGTTCGGGGCGAAGGGTGCGGCGGAGAGGATTCACCCCTGCGATCTCGTGGAGCCGATGCAGTACTTGTTCATCAGAATCGTCAAGGCTCGAGGACTCGCTCCCAACGAGAATCCATACGTCAGGGTCCGTACGTCGGCCCAAGTCGTGAGGTCGAAGGTGGCGGTTCACAGGCAGTGTGAGCCGACCGACTCGCCCGAGTGGAACCAGGTGTTCGCGCTCGCACACAACCGGCCTGAATCAGCGGGTTCCGAGTTGCAGATCTCCATTCACGACTGGCCGTCCGAGCAGTTCTTAGGCGGCATTTGCTTTGACATGAGTGAGGTGCCGGTTCGTGACCCGCCCGATAGTCCTCTGGCTCCGCAGTGGTGGCGTCTAGACAGTAGCGCCGGAGATCAGCACCCCGGTCGAGTCTCCGGCGATATCCAGCTATCGGTTTGGTTCGGGACCCAAGCGGATGACGCGTTCCCGGAAGCGTGGAGCTCCGACGCTCCATTCGTGGCTCACACGCGCTCCAAAGTTTACCAATCGCCGAAGCTCTGGTATCTGAGGACGACGGTTATGGAAGTTCAGGATCTTCACATACCGTCAAATTTGCCTCCATTGACAGCTCCAGAGATTCGCGTCAAAGCTCAGCTCGGCTCCCAATCGGCGCGAACCCGGCGCGGCTCCATGAACAACCACTGTGCGTCGTTTCACTGGAACGAGGACCTCATCTTCGTCGCCGGCGAGCCGCTTGAGGACTCGCTGATTCTACTCGTGGAGGACCGCACAAACAAGGACGCCGCGCTCCTCGGCCACGTCCAAATTCCGGTGAGCTCGATCGAGCAGCGAATCGACGATCGCTACGTGGCGTCCAAGTGGCTCCCACTGGAATGCGGGGGCGGCGGAGGTGGGCCCTGCGTTAGCGGCGGAGATGGGTCCTACTGCGGGAGAATCCATCTGCGCCTTTGCCTGGAGGGTGGATATCACGTGCTGGACGAAGCGGCGCACGTGTGCAGCGATTTCAGGCCGACGGCTAAGCAGCTTTGGAAGCCGGCTGTCGGCATTTTGGAGCTGGGGATTCTCGGCGCGCGCGGCTTGCTTCCGATGAAGGCGAAATCCGGCGGGAAAGGCTCCACGGACGCTTACTGTGTGGCCAAGTACGGGAGAAAGTGGGTGCGGACCCGAACCGTGATGGACAGCTTTGACCCGAGGTGGAACGAGCAGTATACGTGGCAGGTTTATGACCCTTGCACTGTCCTCACCATCGGAGTGTTCGACAACTGGCGTATGTTTGCTGCCGCGGGGGAGGAAAAGCCAGACTACAGTATAGGAAAAGTACGAATACGTATATCTACGATGGAGAGCAACAAGGTGTATACGAATTCGTACCCGTTGCTGGTGCTGCTGAGAACCGGGTTGAAGAAAATGGGCGAGATCGAGCTGGCGGTCCGGTTTGCCTGCCCGTCGTTGCTGCCCGAGACGTGCGCGGTGTACGGCCAGCCATTGCTTCCCAGAATGCACTACCTCCGCCCGCTCGGGGTGGCTCAACAAGAGGCGCTACGTGGCGCCGCAACTCGCATGGTGGCTGCGTGGCTGGCGAGGTCCGAGCCGCCGTTGGGGCAGGAGGTGGTTCGGTACATGTTGGATGCGGATTCGCATGCGTGGAGCATGAGGAAGAGCAAGGCCAATTGGTTTCGGATCGTGGCGGTTCTTGCGTGGGTTGTCGGGTTAGCGAAATGGTTGGATAGTATCCGGAGATGGAGAAACCCGGTTACGACGGTTTTGGTCCACGTGTTGTATTTGGTTCTTGTTTGGTACCCGGATTTGATCGTCCCAACCGGGTTTTTATACGTTTTCTTAATCGGAGTTTGGTATTACCGATTCAGGCCCAAGTCACCAGCTGGTATGGATATCCGGCTTTCACAAGCGGATTCGGTCGACCCAGATGAGCTCGATGAGGAATTTGACACTATCCCAAGCTCAAGACCGTCCGATATCATCCGGGTCAGGTACGACCGGTTGCGAATGCTGGCGGCCCGGGTCCAAACCGTTTTGGGCGATTTTGCAACCCAAGGAGAGAGGGCCCAAGCATTGGTGAGTTGGAGGGACCCTAGAGCCACAAAATTGTTCATCGGAGTGTGCCTAGCAATCACTGTGGTTTTGTACGCGGTGCCACCAAAAATGGTTGCTGTGGCCTTGGGATTTTACTACCTGCGCCACCCCATGTTCCGAGCGCCGATGCCGCCGGTGGGCCTGAACTTCTTCCGACGGCTTCCGAGCTTGTCGGACCGGCTAATGTAGAGGGTGGAAGGAAGAAAATTACTAGACATATCATATATGTGAGAGCATTTTTTTAGGTGCCACGTTTTAGAGGGTGTGACAAATTACAAGGCAAAGCAACTGTGCAAAGTTCAAAAGTGGTCTTTTAAGGAGGGAAAAAAGGGATTTGTCCAAAAAAAAAAAAGAAAGGAGGGAAAGAAGCGAGAATTGGAGGGAAAAGTTCGAAAGCGGCAAAGTTTGTCTTAATTTGGTTGAATTGATTGACTGACTGATAAAATTTGATCGATATAAGAGAGAGGCAATGTTGGCGTGGGGAAGGACTTGGGATGATGTTCCGGAAAGTATGAACACGTCAATTAAATTGCCTTCTAACATGTAATTTCAATCGCAGCTGTTCATTTTTTATATTACTCGGTATTTTGTGTTATTGAGAAAAATTGATTAATTCTTCGTGGATATGTTTCTCCAATTGTACGACAATGTGTTTTTCACTACTTTTTTGTTTTTGTTTAGCAGCTTGTATTTTAAAATTTGTTCTGCATGTGGAGACGCTCGTGCATATTATAAAAGGCCAGTGTTAAAATTACTGGTCTATTTTTATTTTCTCTTGTTGAAGTATTGGAGTGTTTTCCGCTGAAATGATTGCTTGCTAGCCATTGGTAATTAGGCTTGGTGGTTTTGTTCCTTTGAAATTATTACAATGTATGAGAGGGCCAGAGTTGTAGGCTAAACGTTAAGGCTTGCTCCTCCTCCTCTCAGTCATCTTCAAAATTCACCACATTTTCGGTTTTGGTCGGAGGAAGCTCTCGGTTTTCAGCATTTGTTGTGTTTAGTATGAGAGAGACGACAGCGCTAGAAAAACATGACGGCTCTAAAAAGCAGAAAGGCAACGTTGAGAGGGAGGAGAACGAGGAGGAGAAACGCAAGGATGGAAAAGATGAAACAGAGTAGAAAAAGAGTGAAGACAAGTAGAACAAGGAAGGTAAAGGTGAGGAGGATAGAAATGGTGATCCTGAAAAGGAGGAGGAGGAAGAAAAAGAAGCCTCGAAGACAAAAGCTAGCTAGGTTTAGGCATTGGTGGCAAACAAACAAGGAACTTTGAAACTGTCTTTTGAGACTTTTTTGTAATAAGACTTGAAAATGCCTCAAATTTGTAACGGATTTTAGATTTTTTTATTTTTTTAATATGTGAAACAGTGTACACTATTTATTTATTTGTTGTTGTTGTTAAATGTACCATTGATTCAATTCCCATGTAACTAGAAATCCATATTTTGGAAAAGGGATTCTTTTCAGATCCCTTCCTCATAATCCATCAAATCAGGAAATTTGTGTTGTTGAAATTTGATCCAACGGCTAGAAACAGGGGCCCACTTTAAAAGTTATAATAACTTCAGCCGTTGAATCAAATTTCAATGCACAAATCTCCTGATTTGGTGGATTAAAAGAAAGGGATCATCAATCTCCTGATTTGGTGGATTAAGAGGAAGGGATCCGGAGAGGATCCCTTTCCCATATTTTGTAACATGCAGTTTTCTTGTAATATTCTTACTAGTTTGCTTTTGATATAGAGAGCTATTATTGACACTTCATAGCATCACAATATAAATGTGTTTATTTATTTTGTAAGAGAATAACGCATAATGATTAAGAACAGCTCCAGCCCTTTCCCAAAAAATGGAAAAACCAACTCCATCCCAATCCAAAAAGTCGGGCAATTAGTGGGCCCAGAGCTTTCGAATTGCCCAATCAGGCAATTCGTGCTCGATCCTGCGCCCGAGTGCCATCTGACATCATATTGATGTCATCATGACGTCTGCCATGTCAGAGGGTTTTTTGCGCTAGGCGCATGGAGTACAAGCGCAGGTGAGGGGCGCATTGGGGGACAAAAAAAGGGCTATGAGGCCCACAGCGTAGCGCACTTAACACAGGTGAAACAAGGGCTACGTGGCCCGTTTATATATGTTGGATTCGTAATGATAAAATATAATTTCTTAATTTTTTTAAATAAATTTTTAATATCAATTGTCCGGGAAATTTAGTTACTAGATAAAGATACACTTGGATAATTACTATTCATTATGCCTATTGCCCTAAGGGGTGGAACTGCAATAACAACGTTAATGAATTTCCACTCAAATATACCAAACTGGATTAGAGCCAATGTGGCTCAGCCCAAACGGTCCAGTGAGTCATCTAAGTTTTAACGATTTTCTAAGGCTAGTTTATTATATGCAATGTCGAATTTTGTAGTTTAAGTGGTTATGAGCGTTTTTCTTACACCCAGAATCTTTTAAACAAAACCGTAATGAGCTTGGTTTCAACTATTCTCCACCTCTTCCTTGCCTCTTTTGAAGTGCAACATCTTTGAATCATCAGAATTTCCACCCTTGTACGATCATAGTACTCTTATGTATTAATTTGTCATCAATGAGGAAACTTCCTCACTAAATCCACGTGCAAACGACAACAGCAAAGTCTTATCATATTACGTGGGATCGGTTGTATGAATCCTAAAATGTCCCTCTGCTCGGGTTTACACTAAATCCACATGCATCCCACATTATATAAGAACACATATTTCCACCCATTAATCCAGATATAAATAACCTTGATCTCAATTGCTTCAGCGGCAAGCAATGAGTAACTACGACATTGGCGAGTATGCCAGAGGTTAAATTTACTCGGCAGTCTGCACCTCCAGTTCTACCTTCTTCTCTTTGTCTCCCCTTTTCCTTTCCATCAATCCTTAACATTTTCTTGTAATCTTGATCAGATCTTCTCTGCAAGGACAATGTTCATGAACCGCTGATTCGGTTTGATTCAAAATAATTCAACTGGATTAGTGATATCTCATGCAAAGGTTAATCTGTCTAATGATCTATGATTTGCTTCTTCACAACATTACTTTTCTTTGAAGTATGCTGCAACTCTTTTTTTTTTTTGCGACGGTTTGATGGTTTCTGTGACTGTTGCAGTTGATCTGGTTGCTCCTGGACTCGGCACCCTATTCAGTTTTTTTATATACCAGATTGTGGCAGGGTAAGAACTTCCTGTCATTTTCCATCGGGAATTGTTATAAGCGCTTTGAAATAGTCATTATGCAGTGTTCATTGTGGCTAACAGGTGGCACTGCAATGCGAAAATGGTTTTGCTGCGGTTGCTGGAGGAATCGGGCTGATACGAAATCCCTTTAAGAGATATGATCCAGTTGCAAACTTTTCTGCTGCGATAGGAGGCAGTTCTCTGATCTCCATTGGAACCGACCTTGCCTTCCACATATCTGCAGGAACATTAGACAAGTTCAATGCCGGTTTCAGCTTCAATAGTGACTTTGTTTCTACTTCCTTGTCCCTGTGAGCAATCCTGTTGAGAACTTGGAAAAAATAAAATGTGTAGAAATATATATATATATATATATATATATATATAATGTGTAGAAATATATATATAGCTTCTCAATCAATGATACCGCCCTCGCCATTGGCGCCCAATACACATTCTTGCCGTCTACAGTGGCGAAGGCTCGAGTTAGCACACACGGCAATGTTGGCGTTCTTATACGGCAATGGTTACGGCAGAAGGTGTTTCTGTCTATGTCTGGAGAAGTGGATTTTATAGGCGTAAAGAGAAGTCCAAACTTTGGACTCTCTTTTGTGTTAGGCTCTAAAATAACCTAATTTGTAAGCAAATTTTGCTGGTGTTGCAAATTCAAATTACGATATGAAAATGAGTAAAAAATGTAACACATTTTTGTAAAGAAATTCATGCACTCGACAAATAAAAACGCTTTTAAGTCTGTCTGAAAAAGGCAAAACTGTACAAGATTCATGTTTACACGAATAATTATCTCATTGTATGAAACAACTAAACCACGAAAGGAAAACTATAAACAAATAAAGCACGTCGTAATGACCCAAAAGAAGTTCCTGCAGATGAGCGATAAAAAGCTTGTAGATGAAACCGACTACTGATGAGAACCCTGAAGAAGTCCATCACGAATCTGAGAAGCTACATCCCGTACAGCACCAGGTCCATGGGGAATAAACACGGCGGAGGATTTAGAGGCAGCGCCAATTTCCTTCATGGTGTCAAAATACTGAGTGACAAGGACCATGTCCATGACATCCTTTGCAGTTGTCCCTGGAACATTGACGGAGAACCCCAGCACACTGTCTCTCAAACCATCTACAATTGCTTGACGCTGGCGAGCTATACCCAGCCCAGAGAGATACTTTGACTCAGCCTCACCCTCAGCTCGTTTAATCTGCAAAATCTTCTCAGCCTCTGCCTTCTCATTAGTTGCCACTCTCATTCTCGCAGCTGAAAAATATAGAAAATATGGTAAAACAATTGAAACCAAACAGATCACATGTGCAGAACAATAAAATACGTTAAAGGATCTGCATAACCATTGATAATAAGACTCATACCAGCATTGATTTCATTCATTGCCCGTTTTACATGCTCATCTGGTTCTATGTCAACAATGAGCGTTTGCACAATCTCATAACCGTATGCAGACATAGCCTGCAACGCACGAAAAGCAACTTGGTTAAAAGTCGAGTTGTATTTAGACACCACAGTATTATATGAATTTTGCCTTGCTGCATTACTTTTTCGAGCTCATCTTCCACAGCTTTTGCAATTTCATTCTTCTGCTCAAAAGCAGCATCCAGATTCAGCTTTGGAACACTAGCTCTAATCACTGCGAGAAGGGAAAAGGCAAACTCAATCAACTACAAACGCTTCTGATTAAAAAACACTAAAATACATGTATCAAAAAGTCCATTATCTCTAATTTATTAAGAGGGATATTTAGTTTATACCATCGAAGACATAGGCCTGGATTTGAGACCTTGTGTTGGTGAGTTTGTAGAAAGCATCATCTGCTTTGTTTGCTAGAGCACGATATTGAATAGATGCAACGACATTAACAAATACGTTGTCCTGAAAAGTATATAAAACAATCATTCAAGTTTCACATATAAAGAAGTTGAATATAAGACATGCAATGAAATTGCAAATTCAGTTTCTTATCTGAAAACTTTGGAGAGTGTAAGCGTCCAATATTCAATTAAAAGAAATACAGAGGGCACAAGTGCTATGGATTAAGTCGTCTCCACTTATGAAAGTTGACACACCTTTGTCTTGGTCTCACAACGCACATCCAATTGCTGCAAACGAAGAGAGAGATGACCAGCAAGTTGATGCCCAAGAAACCAAGGCAGGCAATGACATCCTGGTTCAAGAACATCCACAAACTTTCCAAATCTTTCCCTTATAGCTACCGTGGATTGATCAACTTGAACACAACAGAATAGATTACCCATGTTCTCTCCGCTGTAGTACCTCCAAGAAAGATATACGTATACGAAGGTCATGTACATATATCAAAACTAAAGTTTAAAACACGGAGATTGATAGGTAGCCTTTTCATGGTTAATAAAATAACCCAAAAAAGCTACTTCATATTATAAGCAAGTTTTTCTTCTTAATTGTTATTCAAGTCTTTTGAAATTTCATACTTCACGATGCCTAATTGAACAAGCAGCAAAAGAACATATGATAAATCTTCGAAACTATATAGATCAGGAGTTCAAGACCCAGAGTCCATACCAAGAAACTGCCAACTCCAAATTTCAATTAATCTCTGTACATGAGTGAGCTACGAGAGAGAGATTTAGAATTCATATGTCAAGCAAAGGAGATAAAACAGAATCAAGGCATGATTGCAACATGGACATAATTCAAGTTGATCTTTCGTAACACTATCCTAAATTCCAATTTGTTAAAAAAAAGTTTTTTAGAAGCAAAACACATGTAAAAGTAGTAAGTACCGAGAACAAGAACACAGACACTCCCAAAACTATTTAGTCTCCTTTCTAGAGAGAGAGAGTAAGAGAGAGAGACTTACAGTTAGTATAAAAGAAGAGGAGGACAAGAGAGGCAGGGAAGAAGGAAGAAAGATAGGAAGAGTTGACCCAAACAAGGTAAGGTATATATAGACTCAACAATATAGACTTGAAAATCTCTTCAAAAAGGCTGCAGTCCAAAACCTTAGATGCAGTAAAGAAACACCAACAGCAACAACAAAGCCTTAACCCACTACTCGAGGTCTGTAGTAAAGAAAACTTAAAAAGTCAAAGAGTTAGATACCGATATTCGGCACTAGGTAGATAACACTTAATACTATGAGCTATAACAACTTCACACAATTAAATCCCAAACAAAACAAAAATTAAAACTTAAGAATTGCAAATCCCTACATAAAACAAACTAGTTGACTGCAAAACAAGCCTCAAAAACATCGTAAAAGGTGCTTCAATAGAAAGCATCGGCAGCAGTACATAGTATTCATCAAGATACAGCCAGGAGATAACTTATTATACAAAATCAAAGAACAAGAACAGACACACATACATCAAATGAATACAATTCCTCCCCTACAACATTCATCGCCACAGCTACCAGCTAACACTTTTGCCTTTTTAACCATGAAAACGACATTTGGGGTTCTGCTGCATTTGTTTCTTCATCATATTTTTTCGAGAAAGCGATATTTTAAACCACGAAGAGGGATATTCAAACTCAGCACAACGGGTGGACGCACCAACTAGCCTAACCCACATTTTCCATTTTCATTGGCTTCACACATACATACAAAAAAATCGAAAACTCATGTTGCAATTCAATAAAAAAACAAAATTTCGGGGAAAAAAACATAACTTTCCCGGGAAATTGTGGAGAGATTGTAAAAAGCGAGTAATATCGATACGAATTGCTTAACTAAACGAAAATTGAAAATCAACCCGTCATCTAAAATTGAGAATTGCAGAGAAAGAGATGCGAAAGGTACCTTCTTTGTTTGCAAATTTTAGCAAATTGCAGCTGACCCTTGGATGCTTGAAGACGAAGAAAGATAAGAACTGAGGTATTTAAAATTGAATAAAAAACGGGGAAAGTGATAAGCTTTGAAGCAATTTTTGCGGATATGTTACTTCAGCTGCAAAAGGGCCAATCAGCAAATTTTAAAGTTTTGTTTGTGCTGACTGGCTGATCGAATCTTCAATTTCTGATACAATTGTTTCGACGATTATATTGCCACGTAAACTTTCTTATTACAGTTCACAAATTGCCACGTAGCTTCCAACTAGATCGCCAATCCACAAGTGGGCCAGGAAAGTCTACGTTCTCATTGGTCCTGGTGAATCGTCTTTTCTTTTCTTAATGTTGAAGAATTCTTTTATGTTACGTAATATTTAATGCTATGAACATTTAATGGTCTAGATTAATTTGAAGTATTGCTTTTATTGTGGTTATGGTTCCGTGAATTCAAGTTATCCAATATTTGTCGCTTTTTATGCTACGTAGTATTGATGTAGAATTCCTTGACGTTAACATTTTCTATTTTATTCAAGAACATAAATAGGTTACACACAAAATAAGTGAAAAAAGATTTGAAATCATTGCAGGAGGGCTAGCGTCAAAGTGAAAATTAAGCATTCATGTGACCCTCCTTATCTGAATTAGAGACTCCCCACCCCATTTCCGGCTTTCCCTTCCCCCTAACTCCTCTAACTACTGACAAAAAGGCACTTTGTATTGGTTTCTAGTCACTATTATACTCTTTGTCCTTTTCTTTTTGAAACAAAAAATACTACACACATTAAGGGGTGGATTAACAAGTTAAGCTTCACAATGGGTTAGCAATAATATTGTTTAATTCGTCTTTGGTGATAATCGAATCTAAGACCTCTTATTTATAAGTGAAGAAAAATACCACTAAACAATATTACTAAAAGAGTTGTTCCCAAAATAAAAAGAGTAGAGGTCACTTAGTACTATAGTCAAGTGATATTCTTTTTAATTTGTAAGTGAAAATTCTTAAGTTTGATTCTTGTCAAATACGACCATAACCAAATTATTTGTGGCTAGCCCATTATAGATTTAACTCACTTGTCCATCCTTTAGTATAAATAATATCAATGTATTAATACAGATGAGTACAATATTCCTTGAAAGCAACATAAAATTTTCCAAAGGTGGGTTTTAATTGTTGTGGCCTAGTGTTGGGCTTTTAGTATCAAGAGTTTGATTCAAAAAATAGGCTGGAGTTTTGGTTCAGCCCAATTTTTCCCATCTAATTTAGAAAAAAAACATTTCTTGTAATTAATTGGAATTTGGAAAGATAAAGCTATCACCTTTCATCAATTTGATTGGCAGGGACACAGTGACGTTCGATAACCAGACACAAAAATCTCCTTCTTCTCTCTCTCTCTCTCTCTCTCTCTCTCTAACATCCCACGTGGCAAGCCACACACGGAGAGCCAGAGCTTCGATACACATCATCAATGGCGGTCAGTACTGCGGCATCTTCAGCTACCTGCAATCTCAACCACACCAGCAACTTCCTCTCCACCAAACCCCACTTCAGTTTCATTTCTGGTTCATCCCGCAACTTCCCCGCCAAATCAAGGCCCTCAACGATCGTTTCCATGGCGCCCCAAAAGAAGGTAGTTACGTCCACTCTTTATCTGTAACTTCTGTTTGGCTACCAAGAAAGTATATTTATACAAACTTACGAATACCCTTTTGATCTTTGGTTAATTAACATATACCCTTTTGTTTGTTTGCTGAGAGGATGTGAATTTTGTAATTTTCAGGTGAACAAGCTCGACGGCGGCTGGGAGAAGAAGTGGTACGGAGCGGGAATTTTCTACGAAGGTGCGGAGGAAGTGGAAGTCGATGTCTTCAAGAAGCTGGAGAAGCGGAAGGTCCTCAGCAACGTCGAGAAGGCGGGGCTTTTGTCCAAGGCGGAGCAGCTCGGGGTGACCCTGTCGTCGATTGAGAAATTGGGGCTGTTTTCGAAGGCGGAGGAACTCGGGCTGCTCAGCCTGCTCGAGAAGGTGGCTGGATTCTCCCCAGCCGCCTTGGCCTCGGCATCGCTGCCCATATTGGTGGCGGCTGTGGTGGCGGTCGTGGTTATACCGGATGACTCGACGGCCCTGGTGGCGGTGCAGGCTGTGGTGGCGGGCGTGCTTGGGGCTGGCGCTGCTGGATTGTTAGTTGGGTCAGTTGTCTTGGATGGCTTGCAAGAAGCTGATTAAGTTTTTCACTTTTTTTTAATTGTTTTTGTTTTTCAAATTTTCTCCTTTTGTAGGATAAAATTGAGAATTATGTCTGTGATATACTGAATTAGAGAATGAATCAATAACTGTTCTGAAATTGTTTGTTTCGCGTCGAGGAAAATTAATAACTCGTCACATGAGAGATTCAACGCACAAAATCATTAACGAAACTAGTAATGTTACGAGCAACACCACCACGAAACACGAACGAGAAACACAAGCCCAAAATGACAAATCTAGCACAAGTTATGAACTTCTTGTCAAAAAGATTAAAAAAAAAACCAGGTATGAAATTGACAAGGTTTGGATAGGAAATGACACAAGTTAAGTAGGATTCAGATTCTTTAAAACTCCCAGTTTATGAGAAATTCTAGTAAATCAATGAACTTTTTTTAGGAAACGATTAATGTCCAACAGAAGAAAAAGAGGAAAGGATTAATGACATATTTAATTATCTTTTACGCATAAGTAGTTCATAAAAAATAAGATATTGAAATCAAATGGGTGATACGCAGAGATATACATCCAAGGAAATTGCTTGGACTACAAGTAACAAAAATCTTCGGCGCCCACTTTAAAAAGGCAATATCAAGATTTCTTCTTCTCTTCATCTGCAATATCCATTTCAATTTTGATTCCATGAAAACTGGGCAACTGCAGCTCCTTTCTGTTCTGAAAGCATGCCAAGCTATGTGAGTAATCTCTCACAACTCACAAAATCGGCGGCTGCTCGGAAGCCTCTCGTCGGTCCTCCGGAGCTCAAACTACCGGTAACATCACAACTGTGGCTGCCACAACCCCAATTAGCACACCAACCCACCCCAAGCCCCTCCGCAAAGGAGGTCCGGTACTCCTTCGGTAACCCCTGCCACAATCTCTATTTCCACGTGGTAGGCAACGAACCTGAGAGCCATGAGTATCTGAACCAACTGCTCCCGGCGGCCTGGTCCCACAATCCCCTAACCACCCTTAAGATCATCGGTAACCTGCTAGACAACCACCACCTAACTGGAAAAGGCTACAACGAATTGTTTTACACGGCAGCGTTTTGGCTCTACCAGAACCACCCCAAAACCCTAGCGCACAACGTGGTGCCGATCGTTGGCTCTTTGGGGGCTTTTGAAAACATTCTTGAGGTTCTTTACGGCATTGTAGATGTCAAAGCCAAGAGCAAGAGGACATGGAGGGAACACGATTGCCATTTTGAGTACATAAACTTGATACAGGAGAAGGCAGGCGACATGGGGACTAAAAGATGTATCGCGATGGCTAGAAATGCTGTCGACATGTATGAGCGTGACCCCAATTATCAATTGTTACACGAGAGGGTTTCGATGTTTACGCTGAGTGCTTGAAATGTGATATCCAAAATTTGAAGGAATATGAGAAGCAGAAGCTGGATAATGACAATGATCCTAAGGACTCCAAGGTGTTGGAGTTAACCTCTGCAGCGAAATGGTGCCCTTCGGTTGATTCTTTCTTTGATCGCACCACTTTGATATGTGAGAGCATTGCAAAGAAGGTGTTCCCGCGAGAGGAATTCGTAGAAGGTGTTAGTGTTGAGGAGGAGGCAGATTATGTGTCCAGAGTCCGAGAGAGGCTGATGAGTGAAGTTTTGGAGCCCTTGAGGACAGCCATAGCGAAAGGCTATAAAGATAATACTCGAAGATGGCAAAGGTTAACCCTGAAGAGCAAGTTCGTGCAGACGGACTTTCCAAATGATTTTAATCCATAGTGTCAAGGTCAGCAATTGTCAAGTATTTGGAGGATGTCAAAGCTGGAGGCGAGTCGAAGATTGAAGCAGGTGCCATGCTTCCAGATGAGATCATAAGCAGTGTGCACGACCACAATTATGGGCAACTGGCTGAGCATCAGTGGAAGGCAATGGTAGAGGAGATCTTTTTAAAAGAGGGGAAGTGGAAAAGCTGCTTGGCTGTGTGTGACGTCTCCGGAAGGATGTGTGGTAACCCCATGAATGTGTCATTGGGTTTGGGACTGTTGGTGTCTGAACTGGGTGAAGAGCCATGGAAAGGAAAGGTCTTTACTTTTAGTCGAAACCCTCAACTACTTACCATACAAGGGGATGATCTTAAGTCCAGGTGCACGTTCATGAGGATGATGGACAACCAGGACTGGGATGGCGAAACTGATTTTCAGAAGGTGTTTGATTTGATTCTGAAAGTGGCTCTGAAAGAGAATTTGAAGCCAGAACAAATGATCAAGAGGGTGTATGTGTTCACCAGCGACCAAGATTTTGATGATGCTTCGGGAGGTAGCTGGAACACTGATTATGAGGCAATACAAAGAAAGTACAAGGAGAAAGGGTACGGAGATGTGGTGCCACGCATAGTGTTTTGGGATCTGAACGATGACGAGTACCCTATGGCACTTCCTGCAGAACAAGGGGTGGCCACATTGGTGGGCTACTCCAAGAAATTTTTCAAGTTCTTCTTGGACAATGATGGGGATATTGGGCCTGACCATGTCGTGGAAGCAGCCATCTCTGGCGAACGGTACCAAAATCTGGCTGTAGTGGACTAATGTTTGAAAGGAATTATTGCTCTTGTTTTCGAATTAGGGTTTGGTAACTCTTTTTGAGTGTTATTGGATCTACTCTTTGTTTTTTCATTTTTCGTTCATTTGTCCTTTGAGATTTTATGAAAAGAAAGCTTCAGTTGGCTTGTTTAATGGTTTGAGCATTTTATCTGGTTTAATTACTGCAAATTTTTTATTACTAATTGTGCAGGATTGCAGATATGTGTAGATATATGCATAGATATGAACAAAATGATTGTAAGTCGTTACATCGCGTGCAGTTTTAAACAAGTTGGACATCAGTTTTTGCTTGAACCTTGTATCTTCATTTCCCTTCAAATCTTCAGGCCCCGGTGATCGGTATTTGTAGCAGCACGGCCGTAAGAGACGGTGATTACTAAATTTGTGAGTTGTACTTGAATTTGTTTCCGAGAGGTACTGGGAACTATGTATTGTTCCGATACTGACTTGAATGTATGCAATAAGGCTCGGAAGTTTTCGGTTAAACATCTTTTCATTTTTCGTTTCTTGCTTGAGAAAGTTGGCTTCTTGTTGAGTTCTATTTCAAAGCTAGATGAGTTGTAAAGTAGAACAATCATTTTTCAGTGTAACACTGGTGCAGCCAAAAAAAATGCCAAGACAGTAGTGAAAAGTATGAAGGGTTTCTCCACAGGAGTTAGAAAAAAGTATGAAGACAAAACGCTTGGAAACAAAATAGAAGAAGAAGGCATAGTGAGTGAAGATAAGAAATTTATGTATCCAAAAATACGGTCACGTGGTGTTATTATGTACGAAAAATCAAAATAAGAGTGATCAATGTCTAATGTTATAGCGCACGGTCACTGTCTAATGTTATAGAGCTCATATTTGCAAGAACTATATATAACATCTCCAATCATGCTCTCTATTTTATGAGTTACCTAGAAAAATACAATCCCCCGATGTTGGTCTTCTAGTCATAGGACAATTTGCCCAATTTGAGTCACAAAAACTCCTTAATCTTAATTCACTTTTGGAGGAAAATAACAGCCCTTGTCCTGGACTATATCTCAAATATTAAAGAATCCGAAGTGCAGCATCCTAAGTGTAGTTTTCGTGGTTGATGCATGAATTGGCTTAGAATATTGACATCATATGCGATGTATGGTCTAGTAATTGTGAGAATTTCACCATGATCACTGTTGGTAAGTTTCAAAATTTGCTCCATGGGAAAATCAACGGGGTTTAGACCCAGTATCATTTGGTGGGCAAGATGAGATAAGTTTTTTCAATCAAACTGGACTTGTAATCCAGCCAATATTTGGTGAGAAAAATTGTAATATGGACTCGATTGACTACAAATCCGAAATAAGGAAAATATAATGGGTTATGTAACCCAACCACACACATGAGTTATGTAACCCATCCTTGTCAATCCAATCTTATCCCTAAGACTCAATCTCATCTAGCCCACCAAACGGGCATCATGCATCGTCCAATATATCGAGAGTGTATTTTCTTTGAGAAATCATAATGCCGCTCTTGATGGAGATTTTGTACGGAATGACCAAAATGATTGACGGTGGACAAATTCAAGGATCACTTCTATCGATTTCAAATCTCTAAAATCAAAATGAATAATTTTGCCAATCTCAGAAACTATTTTAACTAAAAAGTCATTCCATTAATCACCATGTCATCCACATTATAGCAGTAAAAGAGTCACCACGTACCCTCGTAAATAAACAGTAATCTGAGAGAGATTGCTTGTAGCCAAACTTTTTCTTTTGAATTATTCGAAACCAAAAAAACACTACTTTTTCTTTTTGAATTATTCGAAACCAAAAAATCATTTGAATTATGATGATATCCATCCTCATTGAAGTGATTGAATTTTTTTTTCAACAGGAAGATGTTCAGGGATTTTGTCCCAAAAAAGAAGATTTTGAAATTAGATGGGAATTGCTTGGACTCCAAGTAACAAAATCATTGGTGCATAAATAAATGCAGAGATAAATATAGGAAAAGGCTCTCATCAAGATATCTGTATATTCAATCCCCACTATTCACTTCAATTTGGTGCTATGACGACAGGGCAAGTGCAACTCATCTCCGTTCTCAAAGCATGCCCAAACTTTGCCGCCGCCGGTGGCAGCATTTCTCCATGCAAAAGTCCTACGACTCTTGTTGGTCCTCCAGAGCTCAAACTGCCAACTTCACCACCACTGCCGCCGCGACTTCATTCAGAATACCAACCGGCTTGGGCTCGCACCCCCTCAGCGTCCAAGAGCCGCTTCCTCTCCTTCGGTAACCCCTTCCTTGATATCTTTTTCCATGCCGTAGGAGACACTCCCACCATTCGTAAGTATCTGAAGCAACTGCTTCCATTCGCCTGGTCCCTGAATCCCCTAACCACCCTCAAGGTCATTTTTTCTCTACAAAGGAGCTGTTTCACTGCCAGATTGTTTCACACCGCGGCATTCTGGCTCCACCAGAACCACCCCAAAACCCTAGCAGAAAACGTGCCGGCTTTTGCTGAACCAGGAAAGTTTGAAGAACTTCTCGAGGTTCTGTACCGGAATGTAGATGTAAATGGCGAGGGGATGAGGAGAATGGTGAGGACTCGTGAGTACGAATACCATCTGGAATTGATACAGGAAAAAGTAGAGTGCGGCGGGCGTATTGGTAGTAATAAGAGAAAGGAGATGATGGACATGGCCAGGAAGGCTGTTGAGATGTACGAGCGCGACCCGAATTATCAATTATTACACGAGCGGGTTTCGGATCTTTATGCTGAATGCTTGAAGTCTGATATTCAAAATTTGAAAGAATATGAGAAGGAAAAGACGGCTGATGTCGTGGAGTTGAGGTTGACCACGGCGGCAAGGTGGTGCCCTTCCGTTGATTCCTACTACGATCGCGCCACTTTGCTCTGCGAGAGCATTGCGAGGAAAGTTTTCCTTCGGGAGAAAGGCTCACAAGGAGTTGGTGTTGAGGAGGAGGCTGATTATGGGTTTAGAGTCCGAGAGCAGTTGATGAATGAGGTTTTGGAGCCCTTGAGGAGGTTCATGAACCAATGCCTCTATGATGATGATGATTTTCCAAGAGAGAGGAGGTCCTATGCAGTTAAGAAGTACTGGATGGATGTCAAAGCCGGCAACTCCAAGATTGAGGGAAGCGCTATGCGTCCCGATGAGATCATATGTCATGCAAATAACCGCAACTTCGAGCAACTGGCTGACCCTCAGTGGAAGGCCATGGTGGAGGAGATCTATTTAAAGCAGGGCAAGTTGAAGAACTGCTTGGCTGTGTGTGACGTCTCAGGAAGGATGTGTGGGCACCCCATGAATGTGTCCTTAGGTTTGGGACTATTGGTGTCTGAACTGAGTGAGGAGCCATGGAAGGGAAAGGTCTTCACTTTTAGTCGAAACCCTCAGCTACTTACAATACAAGGCGATGATCTTAAGTCCAAGTGCGTGTTTATGAGGAGGATGGACAATCAAGACTGGCACGGTGACGTTGATTTTCAGAAGGTGTTTGATTTGATTCTCGAGGTGGCTTCGAATGAGAATTTGAAGCCAGAGCAAATGATCAGAAGGCTATATGTCTTCACCTGTTGTCAAGATTTTGATGATGCTTCGGCAAATAATTGGAAGACTGATTACAAGGCAATACAGAGAAAGTTTAAAGAGAAAGGGTACGGGGATGTGGTGCCACAGATAGTGTACTGGGATATGAATGGCGACGATCTTATCCCGTGGGTGCGCTATGCAGAACAAGGGGTGTCCAGGATGAGTGGCGACTGCAATGAATTTGTCCAGTTCCTTTTGGACAACGGGGTTTTTGGTCCCGACCATGTCATGGAAGCAGCCTTCTCTGGCAAACAATTTCAAAGCTTGGCTGTAGTCGATTGATTGTTTGTGTTGCTTTTTATTAGTGCAATTTATCATCTTTTTCGTTTTTCTTTTCTTGGGGAAGTTGTCTTCTCGTTGATTTATTTCTGGTATCGGTGTTAATTATAGAGAACTAAATGATGTTTTTGAGTTCTTTTAGGTTGTTCTGGTTACATATAAACAGATCAAATTTTTTCGTGCCACACAAGTTTTGTTTCAACGAGAATTGGGATGTTCCGCGGTATCAATCTTTTTTGGTACAGACATTGTTGAATTCATGAAAGCCGGAAGGCAGCGGAAAACCCCTTGTTTTTCTTGGGTTTAAAGGAGGAAACAGCTGCATACTTGTGTTTAGAGTTCAGTTGTATACAACATTTAATTAATCACCTAATTAGTGTTAATATGTATCAATCAATGTGACACTAATTAACCACTTTCCATAATCTAAATCCACAACTAAATAAAAGAAAATGCTATAATTCGTTGACCAATTGTGCCCTGATTTGGAGGATAACAGAACAAATCCAAGATTAAATATCAAAAAAAATAAAATAAAATAAAATAAAAAAAAGAGGAAAAAAAGGGATATGGAAGTTAAATAGCCGAGATGCAGAGTTTGATATGTGTTTGAACTCCGACGATTACTTGCACGCCAAGTAACAAATTTATTGGTGATCAAGTAATGTATTGGTATTATCTTAAATAACAGTCACATTTGTTCTCTCAGCCAAATTGATTGAAAGGAAGGAAAAAAAAAAAAATCAGACCACAAATTTGATTCAATGAAAACGGGGCAAGTGCAACTCATCTCTGTCCTCAAAGCATGTCTAGGCTCTGTGCGCAATGTCTCACATCTCACAAGAATGGTGGTTGCTCCGACACCTCTTGTCGGTCCTCCGGAGATCGTCAAACTACTGGTAACCTCACAACCGCCTCTGACACAACTCCATATAGCACAAAAAGCCGCTTCCAACGCCGCGGTGGCCAAGAAACCGGCCTCATTTGGTAACCCCTGCCTTGATCTCTATTTCCATGTGAAACCATACAGCTATGGGACAGCCTTTAAGCATCTGAACCGGTTGCTCCCGCTCGCTTGGTCCCATGATCCCCTGACCACCCTGAAGCTCATCTGTAACCTAGTAGAAGGAGGTTACGACTCCTCTGGAAAAGGTGAAGATGAGTTGTTTTACACGGCGGCGTTTTGGCTGTACCAAAACCACCCCAAAACCCTAGCATGCAACGTTGCGCCAATTGCCGATTCGTTTGGGAATTTTGAACACATTTTAGAGATGTTGCTCGGGATTGTAGACGGCGAAGATGAAAATGCCAAGAGGAGGAGGTTGAATAGGGGGAGCAGCTATAAAATCAAATTCGAGGACTTGGTTCAGAAAAAAATAGGCAAAAGAAAGAGTGAGCAGATTGCCAAGGCCAAGAAGGTGATTGAGATGTACAAGCGTGACCCCAACTTCCAGTTGTTGCACGAGCAGGTTTCGGATCTTTACGCTGAGCACTTGAAGTCTGATATTCAGAATTTGAAGATATACGAGCAGCAGCAGTTGGACAATGCTTATGATCCTACACAGTGGGAGTTGGAGTTAACCCCGGCTGCAAGGTGGTGCCCTTCTGTTGATTGCTTCTTCGATCGCGCCACTTTACTCTGCGAAAGCATTGCAAGGAAGGTTTTCCCGCGAGAGGAATGCATACAAGATGTTTCTGACCGGGAGGAGGAGGCTGATTACGCGTCCAGAGTCCAAGAGCGGCTGATGGATGAGGTTTTGACGCCGTTGAGGAAGTTCATGAACTCAGGCTATGATTTTCCAGCAGAAAGAAGGTCTGATGTGGTTAAAGAGTATATGAACGATGTCAATGATGCTGGCGAGTCTGAGATTGAGGCAGATGCTATGTTTCCACATGAGATCATACGCTATGTGAACTACCGCAATTTTGCGGAACTGGTTGACCCTCAGTGGAAGGCAATGGTGGAGGAAATATATGTAAAGCAGGGCAAGTTGAAGAACTGCTTGGCTGTGTGTGACGTCTCAGGAAGGATGGTTGGGCGCCCCATGAATGTGTCATTGGGTTTGGGACTTTTAGTGTCTGAACTCAGTGAAGAGCCATGGAAAGGAAAGGTCTTCACTTTTAGTCGAAACCCTCAGCTACTTTCGATACAAGGCGATGATCTTAAGTCCAAGTGCAGGTTTATGAGGAGGATGGACAATCAGGACTGGGACGGTGACACTAATTTTCTTAAGGTGTTTGATTTGATTCTGGAAGTGGCGGTGAATGCAAACTTGAAGCCAGATCAAATGATCAAGAAGTTGTATGTGTTCACTAGTGACCAAGACTTTGATGATGCTTGCGGCCATAGCTGGAGGACTGACTATGAGGCTATACAGAGAAAGTTCAAGGAGAAAGGGTACGGGGATGTGGTGCCACACGTAGTGTTTTGGGATCTAACCGGTGACGAGTATGTCCCTGTGGCGTGGTGTACACAACATGGGGTGACCGCTATGAGAGGGTACTCCAAGGATTTTGTCGAGTGCTTCTTGGACAATGACGGTGATGTTGGCCCCGACCAGGTCATGGAAGCTGTCATCTCCGATGAGCAGTTTCAAAATCTGGTTGTTGTGGACTGATCTTTACATGATTCGTTGTTCTCGTGTTTTGGTAATGGTTTAGGTAGTTCTGTTATTTGAAGTTTATTCGATTCACCACCCGATTGTCTATTGGATTTCCGTTTTGTGTTTGAGACTTCATGAAAAAAAAAAAAAAACTTGAATCGAATTATTTTACGACGTGATAATTGCATGTGGTCTGGTTTTCTGCACGTCTCTTAATTTACTAGTTGTGAAGGATATGAATAATCAGCAAGCCAATATCTATAGTATGAAAATTTCATATACATGAAACTCCAGCAGAAAAAGTAGTGATTTCAACGGTGGTAGAATTGTGTTGAGCCCTTTACATGACGGCGTGGATTCAAATCGAGTCGGTGGCTAATCTAACATTTAACCCAACAAAATCTATCGTTTGACAAAAAAAAATGTTTGTGCTTTTTAAATTGCCGAAAATGATTAATAATTAATTTGGTAATTAGAGGGTTTTGGTGATGATATTATCAGCAAGAAAAATTGCTAATGAGTTCGAAATTTATTTGATTACGGACCCAAAAATAAGATTTTGAAATTTAATCCTAGGACTTTCGCTGTTTGATCAAATTACTTGGTGCCCAACCCAAGTAAGCAGCTTCTGCACTAAAATAACATGCCCTCCTCAGTCTGTCAAGTTCAGTAATCAAATTCTCCAACAAATTCGTTGGAACTCTGTTAATTTTTTAGGGTTTGATTTTGATTTTCCTTCAAGTGATCTTCAGACCCCATTGATATTTATTCGAAGCGGCTCGCCCTATGAGATACTACAGAAATTTGATTCCACTTAAGACACATCAACCAGTAGAACCTCTCAAGGTGATAACGATTCAAATTGTTGACAACTAGCCACGGTGTGTGCCTATATACGCCCGTGACGCCGTTGACAATGGACGAGCAACGAGGTGAGGTAGTATTTGTTGAGGGTATGAATCTTACATTGGGAAAATCAGGGATCTTGCATGTGTTTATAAGTAATTGGGTTATTTCTCATATTATCAATTGATTTTATGATGGAACCTCAACTTTCTTGATGATATTAGAGCATGTTATCTTATGTGTGAAACCCAACAGTCACACGTACTCCACGTCACCCGACTTGTGTTATCCGCTGTCTAGAACTAATCCAAGGATCAATTCCTTATCTACTAATCATATTCTGAATTTCCCAATTCTGGAAAACCCTTGCTTTCTTAAGTAGAATTTAACAAGTCCATCCAAATTTCCCCAGCAAAGTTCATGTGATTTTTGTGTTATGGAGCTTTCAGTGCTGGACTGGTGTGGCCATATCATTCTATGTTGTTGCCCGGTAGCTTAGGTTTCCTTTCTGAGCCACTTGAATACCTGATCATGCAAAAGTGTGGCTATAATTTCTCTGAGATAAATTAGGTGCCTATTAGGGTTTCACAATTGGGTGTGGTCCTAGCAGTTCACTATTTTTTTTTTTTTTTTAACAAACGATATTATCTACACTACAGGCTGGTAGGCTTAGCCTCACATGGGCTAGCAATCATGTGGTTCAAATTCACCTTTAGCGAGAATCGAACTAAAACCACTCACTTATAAGTGAAGATGAATACTATTAAATCGTAGTACTAAGTGGTAGTAGTCCACTATTTAATTACTCCCATGCATTGCTATTGCCAGTACATCTAGGGCTTCCCTTGTTGGACTTGAAAAATGCATAATAGGCAAACTTTTTAGATTCAAAATAAATAGAACTATTTAATTTTCTTTAATAAAAACCTCGATGGTATATGGGATATCATTTTAAAATGGAAAAAAAAAAGCACTTAATCTGAGGACACAAACCTTACCTCTTAAAAATGAAAGATGGAAGGTTTTTTTTTTTTTTTTTTTTTTTTTTTTTTTTTTTAAATAAAAACACAGGTTAAATAACATTTCATCTTTATATATGCTCTTGCTTTTGGTGCAAGGCATAAGTATCTTCCACAAGTGTATATTTTCCATATGCCAATTTTCAGTAGATGATGATAGGAATCAGATTTGAGTGAGGTTTTGCTTTTGAATGGAAGTTACGACACATTCATTGTCTCAACATCACCATGAAGGGGTATAATCATCTGATTATTCTTAATTTTCATAGAATATATGTAGGTTTTCCTGGGTAGCGTTTCGTCAAGGAGAACATTAGTATATGCTAATCTGAATGACCTAACTAACTTAAGAATATTTTCGGCCTTTCAAAAGTTGTGGCTCATAATTATAACCAGGAATCCTGCGTTGTTTAGAGATTGAAATGTGGATAATTGTGGAATATGATTACGATTAATTCGTAAGCAGACAGTGTAATGCGATATGACTAATCTTACGTTCTATGCGGAAGAACGCTTGCAATATGCATGTACTATGTAGCTTTGCACACAGATAACTTGGAATTTATCAGCTGTATGTTATGGAGTTGTATTGCTAAAAAAATTTATTTGCCTAAACCAAGTGAAACAGCGTTCTAAAATTCATACAAATGACCCGACTTAGTGGTTGGATAAGGCTTAGTTGTTGTAAAGCTTATCTAGTTTTGACGACTTCAACTACTTAGTATGAAAGGGACAAAAAATTTCGAGAGCATTAACCTGCTGGTGTGGATCAAATCTCTGTTTCATATATGCCACAGAAAGTTAGATTTGCTATAATCTCCTTTTGTATTGCAAAATCCAAATCAACCAGAGTATTGTAAAGCAATGGAAAAGAGAGAATGCCTTTGAAAATTAAAGAATAACACAAAGATTCCTATCTCACAAAGATTGCTAAACCTAAAAGTAGACGTTAAGATTTCCTGCATATACTTCCAGTATTCTAGTATTTCTAATCACCTTCTAAACAAGAAGCATAGAAACCCCAGTTAAAAATTAACATTAGCAGCGACGATATCCAAAGTTTTGCGTCAGCTGTTTAAGGTCCCAAATGTTGCATGAAAAGAGAATGCAGTAGCCACAAACATTGGCCAAGAAAAACTCTTCCAGCTAGAACCACAAATTCTGCAGTGGTTTTTAAGCAAATGCCTTGTTTCATCTGAAGTTTTGTTAGGGCTTCTCTTCGACTTTCACCCGAGTGCACAGCAATAGACACGTGTACAATCAAGATGATGCCACCTGGCATCATATCAAGTTGCCCTAGCCAATAGAGACTGACCTAAATGGTGGGAATAATGCGAAATGGGTTCTGAGGGTGAGGTGAAAGAACTACTACAAGTAGCAACCAATAAGGCAGCAGACAGTTGTGGTGGTTTTAGTTTGCCCTTAAATAGAAGGGTTGAATGAAATACCAAAAATGCACATCGTATAGATGTCGGCCAACATGACAAGGTCGAGAAGAAATTCTGCATATTCCTTATGTTCTCCATTGAACATGTTCATCGAACATGTTCTTGTTCTTTGCTTTGATTTTGAAACAACATGAAACTGAAAACTACTCCAATCCACATAAGTTGGAGCTGCCACTTCCAATCTAGTTCGAACTTTTATTTTTTGCATAGTTGGTCAATTAATAGACGTGGGTTAGACTAGTTGGCCGAAATAGTGTGTCCGCTCTCTTGCATCTGAGCTTAAATTTCTCATCCCGTATATAAGAGTAGTTTAGAGTAAGTTGAGGTTGTTGAGCCATCAAGGGATTGCTTAGTGGACTTGCATTAGAATTGCTTATATGCTTGGAGAAAGCAGAAGAACCATATCACTTTCCACTTGTTGCAATTCTAAATGATAACCCAGAATTGGGTTCCTAAAGTAGAACTGGATTAAGAATCTAAGATTGGGGATTAGATCTTTTACAGTGTGGATATATGGGCTTTAGCTCATTTTGGATAACTCCGAAAACGCAAAACAAATTATGGGCTCATGTAACAAGTGTATAACAAATTATTGGGCTAAAGAATCACCCAGTTTTAGAAATTTTTGCTACGAAACAAATATCATTTTGTCGTCTTTGATGTACATTTATTTATGTCTCTTGATTCTTTTTTCACTTATTCAATTCTAAGTCTATTGTTAAGCAACGTTTTAAATAAACGATACTAAAGGATGGAAGAATCAGACACTAAATCTTGAAATTGCCTAGTTAATATCGAGATGGTCACCAACACGAAGGAAACCTAGCAACCACTTTGATTGGTAAGTGAAAAAAAAAAAATAATTAATAACATGTTTACTTACTTAAAATAATACTGAAATTTTAATTCCAACTTTCGTATTAAAACTCCTCTTATTCCTGATTTCACATATTTATAATCAAATTACAAAAATATATAACTCTCACATTGCAGTCTTCAATCTCCTCAATTCTTCCATCTCATATTCCTGACTTAACTTTCTCGATTCGCGAATCCCTCCATACAAATTACAAGGTTAAATTAAGGGAATATTTTCATTTGACTGTGCAAATAAGATAAGTATATTTGGGCACGTCACTGGAGTTTTGGCATATATAGTTAGCCGAGGACCTGAGGTTCATGCTGACAGGAGGCTGAGATAGCGAGACCAAGCAAATATAAAATCTGTACGGAGAGACATGACTGGCCCCACCTTACGTAGACGTGGCCCAATGGTGGCCCGCCATGTTCAATCGCGAGCCGCCCTGGTGGTTGAAGTGGCAATGAGTGGTCAGGGTCATAGAGACTCGGTTTCTGAGTCATCTGTTCGGACTCGCTCCTTCATGAATCCTGATGGCGACTGGTTCGACTCGATGCCTTTGTTTCTGTCCTCTCCCTCGTTTTCATCTTCCATTACCAGCACATTTACCATTATGCCCTCCCCTACACGTTCCACGCTCTCTTTTCCATCATTTTCTTGTGGAATATGTTTACAATATTTAGAATGTTGTTTGCACGTCTTGCTAAACAAAATAAAACAAAACTTTGTCCATATGATATGAACTGGTCTCCCTCCCCTATGATAGCTCGCTGTGATTTTTTTGAGATACATGCACATTTTTCTTTTACGATAATGTTAAGGAGATTATTTATTTAAATTATATTGTGTAAATTATTAGACGTGATTGTTGATGATTGAATTATTACTTAAGTCTTGATTAATGTACTTATTTATTATTAGTGATATATCATGTGATTGCAAATTTAATTTAAAAGGTTGGTCTACCTAGAATTATTCTTTTCTTTTATAAAGAATATGGTTGACACACCCCGACCAAGATCAGGGCGTGCTGGCCGTCACGTGGAAGTGACGTAGCCAAGTGCACAGTGCGGAAGCTAATAAAATAGTAATGTAAAAGTACGAATAAATAAAAACTAGCATACATAAGGTCAAAGTAATGAGTGCTAGCGTAAGTGAGACGATACGTTCAGAGCAATAAGTCTACAACAGTCCAAATTAAAATGATGCGACAGCAGTGCACCCGAAGGTGAACATACGTTGGTGCTCGTCTGTCAGAAATGCTGGAAAAGCCCTCTGGGAAACCACCAAATCAACTGAACCGCTAGAACCTGGAGGGGCGCAAAACAAAAGCGTGAGTGGGCAAAAACAAAGCTTTTCGAAAATCATTTCAAAAACAATATTCTAACCCCTCGCCGTAAAACCTGTATACTTCTCAGAAAATAAACATATGCACGTATATATATAGATATACCAATCATGCTCCATAATATGCCATGTCGGAACCTCAGAATAAAATGCAAGTGCTCAGGTATAATCACATCAAAGTATATATAGTCTGGCAGCCGGAGTCACCTAAAGTGACCTTTACGGCTGTATCTAGAGCTCAAATCTCAATCACTATATCTAAACTTGCCCACGAGTCGGAACCACCTAAAGTGGTCTGTACGACAGGCCTGGGTGTAATATATATAAACGCTCTAGTGCTACGATCACGTGAAGGCTGTGCGAATAATCGCGGGTCACTTACGAGTCGGAACCACCTAAAGTGGTCTGTACGACAAGACTGTGCACCTAACTTGGATCCAAGCTGAGCGTATGGTGCGGGAGGTGAACAACACGTGAAGGACTGTGCCCTACTCGGGGCGGGAGCACTAACACCGGGGGTGTAGGTTATGAGCTCTCTAAGCATCTCAAACCACTACTGAATATAAACGTGAATAACACTTACCTGGCACTTACCTGTGCATCCACAGCACCCAAATATGCATATGTACATGTATGCAATTAAAATGCACGTGATGATGCATAACAATAATAATATGGTGCATGGCATAAAACAATTAACCCTTTTTAAACAATTTCTGGGAAAAATATAAGTATATAGGTATATACGGAAAACCAAAAGCCCACTCACTGGTATGTGGAAGGGTCGTAGCCCCCCTGCCTCGAGTGACCACGCTCGTCCTCGGGATACGTTTCACCTATATGCGAAAATACTATAAAAACGTTAATTTTAAAGCACATAACCTTCCTTTCGTAATAACTTCTCATACATTGCTCAAAATGGACAATTGAATATACCAACGTGCTCTACACAACCTCAGGATCACACCCATATTTTTAGAAAAATTTTCCACCGCCGCACACGCCCCCCACGCAGGCACGTGCCTGGCACGCTGACGGCGTCAACTGACGCCGTTAGGAATATTCCGTCAGTTTTGACAGATTCCGTTAACGGCGTCAGGAATATTCCGTCAGAATTGACGGAATATTCCGTCACCTTCTCTGGCGAGACTCCAGCACCGTCGCCGGCGCCGGAAAACTAGAAAAATTTTAAACCTTGATATCTCGGTCATTTCTCGTCCAAATTTCACGATTTTTGCACCAAAATGACACTTAGGACTAGGAGAACATAAATATACTACTTTTAAGGGTTGAAAACCACTAGATTTTACCTGTCCAAATCTCCAAAATCCGGCCAACTCCACATCCAACGATCCCGACGTCCAAATTCACCAAATGAACCACTCCGAGACTCCTTGGGACCTCACCAAGCTACCTACAAGCTTCATTTTCCCAAAAACGTGAGGAATTACGTTCGCATGAATAGTACCCAAATCGGACCACTTCGAAACGACGTGAAAACGTTGTAGTTCTTACCTGAAAATGGTATGGTTAGACTCGTACGAGCCTCACGAGCATGGATATGGGTTTAGTTTCTTCGATCTGTAAAGGTTTGAGGGGTTTTGGGTGTGTGCCGTACGTTTATGGTGAATGGGAAGGGAGAGAGAGACACGGGACAGAGACAGGGAAATGGACAGAGGGATAGGGAAAGTGAGGGTGTGTGTGTGCGGCTCCACACATGCCAACAAAACCCAAAGCAACCGCAACACGAAAAGAAAACGCACTAGGGGCAATTTCATCTTTTCACACGTACATCTTCGATATTTTCGGGACGGACTGTCACAATGGTGCTTGCGGAAAACCTATTGGAAAAAACTTCGAGCGAAAGAACTAGAGTACCACAACCATACAACCATTAAGCTACGTCAAAGCTCAAAACATAACGAATTTCAGGCCAATATTCTTCATGGCACGTCTTGGATTTGATTTTTGACGTTGGTGAATCAAACAATGGTGGCTAGGGGGAGACTAAAATACCTTTGTGAGTCTTTCCAGCCCTCAAAATGTTAGATTGGTGTGGCGAACCCACCAGTTTGTCCTTTTTTTTATTAAAAAAAATCCTTATAAGCTACTTATCCAGTGATAGTGAATTAGATAAACGAATCATATATGATACGAACAATTTTTTTTACAACGTGTCATTGACTCATCCATTACAAATCATAATGTGTCACAACTTAATATTAAACTAACTACAAATATAATATTGTCTTTACATTTGTAAGTCAAACTTCACCTCTGTTTTAACAAAATGAAGACTATTGACGCTGGACCAAATAGTCATGTGCCTTTAGCACAAATTATTAATTTCTAACATTTTGATTTTATTTATAGGTTTCACAAGGTATTTTAACCCCATGGAATATTAGACAAATCAAATCATATACAACAAAACACAATAACTAGAGCCTCATTTTGTAATTCTAAAAGATTCTAAGACCAAGTACTTAGAACTGAAATCAAATATGAAAAGAGATGATTTTAGGGTTATGCATATATTGTTATAGAGAGATTTTTCAATGTGTTTGAAACACTTGTCAGTACGTAATATGTTATTATACAATTAAAATTTAAAAAAAAAAAATTTCCAATTACATAATGACATATGATGTATCATAATATATTCCGGTACAATTACAAAATAAGTACGCCATTGATGCTTTACAACGAAGGGCAGCATTGTAATCAAACCCCCACCTTTGTCCTCTAACCCCTTTGGGTTTTACTATATTTATCACCATCACGCTGCGCTTCGAGAAAGAAGAAGGAAACTCTCCTTCTCTCTCTCTCTCTCTCTCTCTCTCTCTCTCTCTCTCTCTGTGAAACTTCCAATTTACAGAGCTGCTTCTTCTCTGTCTTTCTCTCTCTCTCTCTGTGAAACTTCCAATTTACAGAGCTGCTTCTTCTCCACTGTTTCACCACTACCTCCAATTCATCGTCCCACAACTTCTCCTTCTTCTGAGTGATGGGTGTGTGCAGCCGCTGTTCCCACACTTCCCACATCACAGAAATCATCATCACCAGCTTCTTCCGCCACAAAGCGTGATTCTTTCTAAACCCTGAGCTTCGGATCACTTACCATCCAAAAAACCAAGCTGTGATGTTCGCTCGAGCAGCTTAATAATCACATAGTAAACAATACTAATTCGTCGGAGTGTTGACTGTAAACATGTCCGGCGGGAGGGTCTACGGCGGCGGAAGTTCGTCCGGCCTGAGTGCTTTGTTTCAGAACCAGAGGGGTTCTGAGCGTCTTGATTCTCTATTCCTTTCTGAGTCATCAAATTCTTCGTCTGCTTCTTTTCTCGGTACTATTTCACTCTCTTTGTATACTCTGTTTCTGATTTTTATTATTCGGGCTGATTTTTTTTTGGTAAAAAAAAAATTATTATTAAGGTGAGGGCAATGATTTGAAACTATTACACATGAAAGTTTTGAACCCAACACCCTAGCTAGGATATGTGACCACATATCTGGCTATTTCTCGATATATGCGTGTCATCCTTGATTTATCACTAATTTTTCAGTGTTTATGTTCTCCTTAAATATTTAGTCTTTTGGTATATATGGATATGTTGATATGTATATGTTGCTGCTTAACTTGTGTGTGAATTAAGTAAAAATTAAAATTTGCATATAGTCCAGGCCCCTGTTCATCTTTCTGGTTATAATTATGTTAATTATTTCGGAATTCGGAATCGTAGAATAATCAGCTGCCAAAACAAACACACACTTTGTGATCAGAACTGATCATGGAGTGAGTGTTTATGTTCGTTTTTAGATATAATCCATATGATTTGTAGAGGAAAATTGTGTGGTGAGATGCTGTTCATATGTGTGGTATTATTTTGGAAGATGGTATTCTAATTAACGAATAATATCTTGTTCAGGTTCAAGATCGATGGTGAGTTTCGAAGATGTTCGTGGAGGAAGTGGATCGAATAGGTCATTGTTCCGCCAGTATGAGCACGAAGATAACGGGGACGATGACTTGGATGAGTATCTCCATCAACCTGGGAAGAAGAGGCGGCTAACCGCTGATCAAGTCCAGTTTCTCGAAAAAAGCTTTGACGTGGAAAACAAACTGGAACCGGAGAGGAAAGTCCTGCTTGCAAAGGACCTTGGCTTGCAGCCTCGGCAGGTTGCGATATGGTTCCAGAACCGCCGCGCAAGGTGGAAGACAAAACAGCTTGAGAAGGATTATGAGGAGTTGCAAGCCAACTACAATAATCTCAAGGCTGATTGTGAAAGCCTTTCCAAGGAGAATGATAAACTAAAGGCCGAGGTAGCGATTGATATCTGTGATTCCCTGCCTTAATTTTTCCATTTGTAGTATTTTGCTTTCGAATTTGACATGATATGTCTGAATTGGTCGTCAGGTTACTGTCCTCTCAGACAAGCTGCATCTCAAAGAGAAAGAGGGGGGAAATTCAGAACTATCTGATACCAACAGATTATCTCAAGAACCGCCGCAGAAGCCAATTGCTGACACGGTCTCTGAAGGCGAAGTATCAAAAGTCTCAGCTGTGGCCTCCAAGCAGGAAGATCTTAGTTCAGGCAGGAGTGATATATTTGATTCAGACAGCTCACATTACACGGATGCAGTTCACTCTTCACTCTTGGAGCCTGGTGATTCTTCGTATGCTTTTGAACCTGAACAGTCTGACCTTTCCCAAGATGAAGAAGATAACTTTACCAAAAGCCTGCTGCCTCCATACATCTTCCCAAAGATTGAAGATGTTGATTACTCTGATACGCCTGCGAATTCATGTAATTACGCATTCCCGGTGGAAGATCACGCCTTTTGGTCCTGGTCTTACTAAGTTTCTTCTGGCAAATCCGAATCCCCGGGGTATTACCATCTTTGTTTAAAGTATGGCATAGAAGTGAAAATAAGTCCAAGCAAAACGGCGCACCCCGATCCCGATGTGGTGGTGGGAACAAGGTTTCAATAGATGGTGGTTTTTGCCCCGTTGTAATCTTGTTTTTCATGGGGCTCTTAATTAGTGCTTAATGGACCATTTTTGTATGGAATTTCATGTAAGTAAATAAAGTTCTCTTGTTAAGGAAGCTTGATGGGAAATTTCATACTTTTGTTTAAAAATGTCATGAAACGAGTTTTAAACGCGAGCCCTTGCTAGTTCCTCTTTATGCTTCTATCCCGATATCGCTTGCCGTTTCTTGGTACCGTTTCTTGCATACCAAGAAACTTTTCAAGCTTCAAATCAGTTGTGGAATGTTAAACCAAAAGAGGTGCAGATGATTGGCATGTAAGTAAACTCAATTGGACCCTTTGTACTAGTTCATCTTCCTATTTCATCGAGACATTGACTTCCAGAGCCAACTTATGTTCAATGGTGTTTTGCTATCTTGAGCTTTTTTTATATACGATTTCCACACATCCTGATCTGTATTATTGAAGTTCTGTGTATGTTTATATGTGTGTGTGTGTGTGTGTATTACGTACACAGAAATTTTCAGTTGACTTCCATATACCATTGCTAGCTACAATTAAAGTCCGGTTGCACAGATTTCTTGTGAAGCTGAGCGAAGCAAAGCATCCAAAGGTATTGCTTTTTCTTACTTTCATATTGTGGGGGTCAACTTCATGATGGTGTGTCATCCATTTTATTTTCTTTCTATTTGTTTTCTACTTTTTCTTTCCTTTGTATGGTGGAGGCCAAAAGATAAAGGCGAAAAACTTCAGTTGGGTTGCTCCATCACGTTTGTCTATTCGAGACACAAATAAAGAAAGCAAATCCTTCGTTAGTAGGGTTTACAAAAATGCGAGTCCTCTTATCTGTGTCTCTGAAGTAATGTAACAGGGTAACTCGACTGAAGTTTTTCTCTCACGCATAACTCCTGAAGTTGCTAACCCATAAAGTTGATAACTCTTCCTCCTTTCCATGTAATCAGTACTCTTGGTTTCGTTTTGGATTTAGATTCTTGGGAAAATGGCTACCAGAACTGGTGATATAAAATATGATTAGGTTAATGCTATGGAGATCATCTATTTGAATCATATTTGGTAAACTATATGGCTTGATTGTTGATGATTTGATTATTACTTAAGTAGTTGATTAACGTGTTTATTTTCTATTGGTGACATATCACATAATTTGCAATGTGACTAAAAAAATTAGTCTACCTAGCATTACTATTATGATTACCATATCAATTAGAAAGGATCCCGTTAAGTGAAAGGGAGGAACAATTTGACACACAAACCCATCAAATGATGTTCTTGCTCTTATCATGTTGAAAACTATGATCTTAGCCAAATTGCCAATAAGGTTAAGTTTGTTCGAGGAGCTTCTCTTGTGTGATTTCCTTTGCAAATTGGATCAAACTTTTCAAATTAGCGACGAGTGCATTGGTGCTGCCTTTCTTTGTTGGGAAGTTGGGAACTACAGCTTGTGCCACCAAAAATAGGTGTGCTCACTATCCACCAATTTACCCATTTTGCTCGGGCAAAGAAAGGGATTGGTTGAAGGACCACATGCATTTCAAATCAAGGTAGAACATTTTGACAAATGTTTTTTAGATACATTAAGGAGGCACATCAAATTTTCCTTTTGCGTTTGATAAATTTTTATGAGTAATGTGATCAATAAGGTGATCATTAGATGTGTGAAAATAAATTTATCTTGAACCTCAATAATACGAAATCTTATGCTTCTCACCCTTAGTCAAATGGAATCTCCTTCCTTGGCGGTGAAGAGAAGAACTCGTGTAGGAGCACTCAAACCACGTCATCTATTTGACAGTTTTTACAAAAACATGAGATCTCTTATATTTTAATCTCATCTAATTTTATTTTAATCATATCCAATGTGAGAACTGCCCTAATTCGTCGTAGAATGTGGTTGCTTCCTCTCATGGTTCTCCACTGTGTTGGGCAAAGTCGGGGAATCTTATAGTCTTTTGTATACGACCATTTCTCAGTTCATGATACAATTAGAAACTTGAAGAAGCATTATTTTGATAATCTTTGCAAAACATCTCTGTCACGCGTGCCACCAATTCACCATTGGCATTTGGCCCCCTCATTTAAAAAACAATTTAACATTACTTGAGTGATTTAACGGAGCACACAAGTCCTTTTACTATTCAAGAGTCAAATTCGAACTTAAGTTTTGTGAGAATATTTGCAAATTTATTTATTTATTTTTAAGTTCAAACATCAACCATTAAACTATATGATCTATAAAATATAATTTAAATAAATAATCTCTCCTGCATCACTTTTTAAAAATATTAAACATGCGGAATCGTCTGCATATGCAAAACAGTTTTCACACTGATGTTCTAGATGGCTAATCCAACTTCACAAATCCATCAGAACCCAAGGTTATGATCTAATTGTCAAACAATAATTTTCAAATGCAATAATAAAATGCATGTTAAATTTCAAAACACAGCTTAGCGTGGACTCTAACTTTGTTTACTTTCCGATTTTGTACACGTCTGTTTACTTGGGACAAATCCATGGGATTAACCAAGAGGTTTCATACACATTTTTTTTTAAATGGCAAATTTTTCCTATGGTTTTTGGAGTGTTCTCATCTTTTAATTTAAAGCTTGTGTTTGATAGAAAACTAATAGAAAATCAAAAGGTTTGTAGCTCAAGGTCTCTCATTAAATTATACAAATTAAATGCACAACTTTATGCATGCAAAATTTTGTAGGCTATAATATTATTGTAAGAAATGTTTCTTCACCTCACCTACCCCATCTAAAAAGAGAATATATACATAAGCATTGTGTGTGTGTGTGTGTGTGTGTGTATGTATATATAAGATGTTTTGCAAATTTTGGTTAGAAATTTGTTTTTTGTTCAAATAAAATTTTGGTTAGAATGAAAGGCCATTTAATCGGCATAAAGAGGACTTTAAAGTATAATGTGTTTGAGTCAACTCAAGATCTTCGATTTGAGACATTAATTTGTAAAATTAGTATGAATTCACAAAGAAAGCAAGGTAATCATTTCATCAAAAGTCGTATGCTACACAACTAAACAAAACGATAATTACACGAATTAAATAACCAACTTAAAAGATTACTTCTCTCATATTATATAAACTAAATTAGAATATCACTCGATGATAAAAACACAATTTAGAATTAAAAGTCATCTCTCGTTAACTCCGTCTCCCATTCATAGTTTCATACACACATAGAGCGGTTTTTTTTTTTCTTTCAACAATGCAACAAAAGCATACTTGGAGGAGAAGATTTTCTCACTTTTACATCCCATATCTTACGGCACTTACAAGATGGGCCATATATAACATGCCAAGTGTCCGTCGTTCTCGAATGTCGAGGCACTTTATTTGGAGATTTTTCACATACCCTCACAACCCTAGCTGCTAGGGTTTCGACGTGTGTTGGCCACGTGTACAGCTGCGATGCTCGGATCTCGTCGATTACATCACGATGGAAAACACCGTCCCCACCCTTCCCCCCGGGGAATCTTCCAGCTCGTTGGGCCACCACCCGACGTGGACGCCTTGCGCAAGATCGACGGCCCTGATTGGATGATTATCAGGTCAAAAGTTAGGCGGGCCCCACCACATGAGGTGTTCAAACAGTTTATTAATGCAATTTTTAGTAATAAAGCTTAGGCCACAGATAAGCATGGAGTGGAAGTGGGCCCGGTGGGGCCCAGAAAGCAGAGGGTATGCCGGTGGGAGAGCGAGTGGACGCATCTGTCCAGGTACCACGGTCTCCCATCAGTCCTTATGTCACCACGTGTAGGGTTGCTTTCTATGGGCCCACGGCCCATTTCTTCTTCTCCCTCCTCCTTATTTTATCTTCACGATCCTTTGCCTTTGTTTTTATTTTGTTTCTTCTTCATGGTCGACAAAGGATGTCATTTAAATTTAGTAAATTTGTTTGACATATAAATTGACCGGACAGAATCAACTAGGAATCTCACTTTTTAAATTCTAAGAATCCAGCAATTTAGACTACTCAAATTGAATCTGACGGTCATCATTAACTCATTATATTAGTCCATCTTACATAAACTAAAAGCATTTATATCTCTTTCACACAAATTAAGGGTTAGAAGTTCCTGATCTTTAGGTTCCGAATAGTAAGGTTTGGAGAAGGACCAAATGCATAGATTGACAAAGGAGAGCTATAAAGCTAGGGAGGGTTTTGATCCATTTTTATGCTTTCTCTTACTCAATCTTATACGTGTGTATAGAATACTGCAAAAAGTTGTACTCGATGAAAGTTTTTCGACCATTTTTATCATGTTTTAAGTAAGTTCATGGTTTTCAACATGAATTTTATTAAATATTAGGAGTGAATTTAATTCTTAACAAACAATTTTTTTACCTGTGTCAAATTGTATATAATTTGATAATTGTTGTGAATAGATTTCTTAATTAGGAATTTGTTTGTGCAAACGTAAAGAAGAATCCCAATACGATTTTGAGATTAAATCGTCATAGGTTTGTATTACTTGCAAGGAAAGAAAACTTATCATAATTAGTATACATAGAACATGACCAAAACGTAAGTAATCAATTCTGATACACCTGGACCCTTTTCTCTCTACCGTCCCTTCTCTCTCACCCACTTTTATGATTTGGAAAATTGGAAGTTGTTTGGCTTTTGTATATAATTAGATGATGATAGTTCTTGTTATCCTCCATTTTACCCCACAAATCAGTGATTCTGTTTGGGCAGAATTCTTTTGCGGTGCAAGAAAAAACTCATGAATTTATAAGCCCCCAACAAAATAAATATACTCTCAAGGAGTCATGGACCATGGCATATAGATATTTTCTCACATCAATTCAAGAACCAAGAACCATCAATGCACTACTTTTAAAAATTAGGACCACATCTAGGCGAGAACAATTTTAGATCACATTTTACAACCAAAATCTTGGGCAACAAGCTCCTTGGACTTAATTTCACGTGTACATTGGCAGATCCGGCGCTAGTCGAACCCAAAACTTGCTGACCTTTAGTTATACCCAAGCTTTCCTTTCTCATTTCTATGGTATTGGTGCATTTCCTCCAATATTGAACTTGAGATGAATGAATGTATGATGTATCCAACTATGTGAGTACCAAAGCATGTGTTTGCTTCCGGATGATCAAAATTTGAAGTTGTCCTTCAAGTATAAGACTATCTCTTGCTGCAGAAACATTGAGATAAAGAGTGAGATCAGCCATTGCATACTAGAAGTACTGAAATGTGTTTAGGGTTTAGTATATAACAGTACTTACAATCAAACAAAGAAGAAGGCATCCGGCGGCGCCGGGGAACAAAGCATACCAAAAACTCAGGTTATGGAACTTAGCTCCATCAATGAAGAGTATAGGCAAGCTTGCAGCTACAAATTGAACACAGAATGAGTCGTGCAACTTATTTTAGTAGCAGAAAAATGAGATTAATGAAAAATATAGCAGGAAGGAGGGATTACCAGGTGGATGTGTGGAGCGTGTGCAAATCATGAAGGCAACGGATGCAGCTAGGGCAAAGCTTCTAGCAAGCCATCCAGGGCCAAATGTGGAAAATGCAAGCACCCCAATGGCTGCACAACCTATTTGTGCCATGAACATATTGTACTTCTGCCAAAATCACAAGGGAGAATTAATGTGTTATTTCAATACACTATGCTTTTGATTATCTTAAATTGAAATGACCCCGTTTTACGAATAGCAAATTTGTTTAACTGTCAAATCTAAGTCGAGCACTTCTAACTCTATTGATCATTTTTCGACCAAGATGCACTTAAGTTCGACTATTTCATATGGTCGTCTAATATATGTTTAACCCTTTATCTGACCTAGGTATATAGGTATTTTCACATACTAAACGACTAAGCATAAAGAAGAGGGGGTATTTGAACAGAGGATATCAAATAAAATTAATTACTTGAGATACAAGTTTCTTTACAGAGTTGTAGAGTTTGCCAAACTCATATACAAAAACATCTATGACTAATTGACAGTTCCCCATTTACTTTTCAACATTTTCCTATATGAGTGGTCCAAATGTGACCAATACCCATATATAAATTTGGATCAAAATAAGGCCCAATTTGAAGAAAATCTGGACTTATTTTTGCTACATTCCATTTTCATCATATGAGGTCCATTACAAGTGGAGTTGTGCCAATTGTCTACATGTACACGTGTCTATCATTGACTCACTACTCAAACAAGGTAGTTTTTTTTTTTTTTTTTGGGAAACTAGGTGGTCTATTTTTTTGTTGTTCAAATGAACAAGGTAGTCTACTTAAAGGAGAACAAAAGCAACATATGGCTCACTTTTCTTCAAAACCTTTTCCGCGTTTTCAGTGATTCGAAGAAATTTTATTAATAAGAAAAAAAGAAATTATACTTGATCAGATGAGATATAAATCTTAGTTCTCATCAAAATAATAGATTATAAAAGAACAAAAAACACTCGTAAAAGAACAAAACCTAAGCAACTTATGGCTCACATTCACCAAATAGATTATAAAAGAATAAAAAGCACTTGTGGATAATTTAAGAAAGAAATTTGTATTTATGACTCATGCTACACTAACATTTCATAAGTTACGTAATGAGTATTATAAAGCTCAAAAATATAACTTTAATGTTATTATATCATTACATAACTCAGACGATGAGCTTTACCGGATCATAAATATATCATCAGTTATATGCAAGAATCTTTCATAATTTAAACTCAGAAAGTAGAACAAATTAATACCCGAGCACCAGGAGCAGCAGGAGTGGCAAAGAGGACTGCGGAAACAGCTCCTAATGGTGCAATTGTCATTGAAATTCCTTTGGTGCTAATATCTGATCCATCCTTCCCAATAACGCCATTGCTGCAAAAGCCCCTATTTTTCACCAAATGATCATCATTAATGCAGCTAAACACATGATTAATTGGTGTTATTATTTCTAATCTCTATGATTCTAATTACCTGCAGAAGGCCAGACAATATCACTGAGAGAAGGAGCAGCCGAACCCTTCTCAGGCCTCCAACTGTCCCAAAGTGGTGAAGCCAAATTGCTTGAAGCCACAATCCCATAATATTGATTTCTTCTTTTGATGTTTACTACGCTTCTGCTGTTGACTTGTTCTAAGCCAAAAAGTGCTTTTGCGGGAGGGGTAGAAGTGCTTTTGGGATGAAGAAGATGGGGATGAAAACTAGAAGCCCTCATCAGCTGCATGCCCATTATTTCTATTGGACGTTTCTCTCTCTTCAATTGCTGCAGAGATGGATATGAATATGGTTTTAATTTAGGAAGATGAAAAAAGTCAGAGAGACAGAGAGAGACAGAGAGATTTATATGTGACCGTTGGGAGTTGAGAAAATCAGATTTGCCAATTTACTGGTCTTTTGGTGAAGTCGAAAGGCCATTGGCTGGTTGGCAATTTGCCACACAACTGACAACTCCATATCTACAGATAACATTTCTAAGAAGAAGAAAAATGATAGATAATGTTTTCAGGGACTTAAAGAAAATGTGAAAGTATTCTCTTTCTTTTATAAAAAAAAACAAATAGTCGTTATTGGCACTTTAGAGCATCTTAGATGTCGAATCTTAAATATGTAAAGTTTTGCTTTTCATCTGATATATATTAAATTAAATTGTAATTTTATTCCACTAAATTATTATAATAATGTTTTAAAATAAAAAGTAATAATAAAATTAATAAAATGCATTAATAATCAATTAAAAAGATGTTTGAAGTTGTCGTTAAATTTTGGTAGCAAGTAATGATAAACAAAATATAGTTAGAGGGTTTATGTAATTGGAATATATGGCGGATTGTATACTAGATTCATTAAGTCATTTTGTCGTTGATTCATCTGGCTTCAGCCACGACTCGATGCTCTTGCACTGGTTGTAGAAATTCGTCATATCCACCACCAAGTCCTTGATCACAAACATGTGCGGCGCTATCTTCGTTAGGCAGGCCAGGCCGTTGCAGCCGTCGATGTTCATGGCTCAGGAGCCGCAGATCCCTTCCTGGCAAGATCGCCGGAAGGTGAGAGTCGGTTTCCATCTCGTTCTTGATCTTGAAGAAGGCAGATCCAGACGGCAATGACGGAGACGCAGTTCCTCTCCGCCGACCTCCCAATTTGCGGACGCAGAGAAATGGCAGAGGCAGAAATCAACCCGGTCACCATCTCTCTGTTGATTCCGTATCAACCCGGTCACCATTTTTGCGTTTCCGGGCTTCAACAACTGCGAACAGAGAGGGAGAGAAGATTTGCTCCTTCTTGGTTGGAATGGTAGTGTTCCTCGGAATCAAAACAGTCATCACACCTCCAGCGGTCTCCAAACCGAGAGACAGAGGAGTGACATCAAGAAGCAACAAATCCTGAACCTTCTCGTTACCCTCACCGCTCAGGATCGCAGCTTGCACAGAGGCACCATAAGCAACGGCCTCATCTGGGTTGATACTCTTGCAGAGCTCCTTTCCATTGAAGAAGTTGATTGGTTCTTGGTGGAGTTTCTTGGTTCTAGAATTATGGGGTTTCAGCAAAGTAAAGGTCTGTGCATTCTACCTGTTTGTTGATTTGTCTCAGTGAGAATTTCTTTATGTTTGATGAATTCCAAGGCCGATTGTCATCGTCAACTAGTTTGCTCGTCGGTTTCTTGAAGAATTGTTAATTGTGGAGGCTTAAAGATTTGGTTTTGGTTCAATTTCTGGTAGTCTGGTTGGTCTAGGAATGTTGATCTTACTTCCCTTGATAGTCTGGTATGCTCCATGCGTGTGAATTCTTGCATTCTGGTATGTACAATTTTGTGGTTGTTCCGATTGTGGTTTGTGTCAAAATTCAGAACTGTAATGTCTAAGAAGATTGTTCAGCAGCTAACTGAGGAGTGGTGCAGTATTTTCCTTATTACAGCCTATAATGTCGAGTCTAACCAACTCAATTGTTAGCATGAATCTACAGTAAGTCCGGTTATACGATGAAGTTTGATGAAGTTGTAAACGGTAAATCCCACGAAGGGTAATTCCGTGATGTAAGTAGGTAAATCCCACGAAGGGTAATCCTACATAGATGTTGATTTTCTGTTGTTGAAATTGTGAAGGCCAATGCCACTGTTAAGAGTAGTTGTATTTTGGTAAAATCCACAAAGGGCGATCCCGTGGTGCTATAGTTAAGGCCGATGCCACACTATAGTTTGTTATTTTTCTGTTTAAAGGCCGAAGCCAATGTTAAATGAAGTTGTTGACGGTAAATCCCACGAAGGGTAATCCCGCAAGAAGTTGTTATAACCGGCCTGAGGGTGTGTTACAATTTTATAAGAGGCTTTGTATGGAAATTCTTTGTGAAGATCCTGTGAGAGGCAGAGGAATGTTGGTTTTTTGGATGGAGAGATTGTATCTGCAATATGTTTGTTTGAAAGGATGATACAGGGTTCAGTTTGGTCGTCTTCTTCCACCAGTTCCACAAGGATGATACAGGGTTCAGTTTGTTTGAAAGGATGCACGTCACCAGTTTGCAGCAAATCCAAGGTTCCAAAAAGGGTCCAGTCACAGTGCCTTAGTGTCAACAAACTTCACTTGGATACTCCAAGTTTAGTTTGAGGGGGGGTAATAACTGATATAACAGAAATATAGTTAGAGGGATATTATTGTAATTGGAATATATGGCTATATAAGGGATTGTATAGCTAGTATTTCATTAAGTTCATTTTGTATACATTTCATCCATTCAATCAATACAATCTTTCTAGTTTTCTCTCTATCATCTTTCTTTTCCCTTGTACCAACTTATATTTTGCAATGTAGTTAACAGCAAGGATTATGACTGTCAATCCATGAAATGCCACATCAGATTTGAACTTTTTGTTGAAAAACATTGTTGCTACTTGCTGCCTTTTTTTACGATTAGTGTTGATTTGGACATTTTGATATCTATTTTTGGAATGCTCTTAAAATAAGAAAAGACAAAGATGCACTTCAAGCTCTTAAAAACCTCTTGCACTGTTCCAATTCCTTCATCCTTGATTGTAATTAATCAATAAAATACTTGTAACTCAATTAGTTAACAACATCTTTCCTTGTACTTGAGATCCATTGTTAGTGCTGAAGAGGAATATAACTAGACCATAGTACTAAGTGGCCAGATAAACTTATTTTAATATGGTAGTTTAATTCAATTAACCAATAAAGTAAAAGAACAAACTTAAAAATAATAAACTATTGAGGGGGCTAAAAAATAGTCCATTCAGTTAGAGATGATATATAAATATGGTTTGACATTATTCATTTAAAAATAATTTCTTGCAGGACTATAAATCTGGATGAGGCTAAACATAGCCCCTTCGAATAGAGATGGTCGTAGTGCTCTGCCCCTTGCCACCGGTTCCCCCGTTAGTACAAGTTGCAGAAAATTCAAATGATACATCAAATGCTCCATTATAAAATAAGAATAAATGCTATTGAAACAAAATTTGCAAACCAAATGATGTGTCACAAATAAAAAATAAGCACGTTAATCAATAATTAAATAATAATACAATCATCAACAACCACATCATTTTATTTACAAAATTTGATTTAAAATTTTGATTTTCCTAGCATTACCCATAATATAATACATAAGGTTTATTTTCTTTGGTTTGCCAACTTTAGATTGGGTATCTAACTTAAATAACTTCCAAGACCTTGATAAATTACACATAAAAATTAAAAAGAAATATTGAGTAATCAATCTATGGGTTAATTTTATAGGAGTACAAAACCTTGTTGCAAGCAATCAAACAAAGAGAGTAACGCCATCTCCAATAAAAATAGCTAAAGGTCTAAAAGTAAAAAAATAATTCGATTTACTCAAAAAACTCGTCTCCAGTAAAAAGCTAGGCTATAAATATTGGAGCCCACCTGGCGACTAACAACCAAAAGTCCATCCGGCTGGCTAACTCCAGCCACCCCTCCAGCCCGTTTCATGGGCCCAGCTGCCAGGTTTTGTTAATGTTTCAAATCCGAAGGTTGGATTTTTCAGAGGCAGATTCTCTGCCCTCCTATTTTTCGTGCTTTCATGTTTTGTGCGATCAAGGTTAAGTCATGTCAATAGTTTATATTATTTTTTTATAAAGATAATAAGACAAAAAGGAATATTAATATAAAATGTTGACGTGACTTAACTATGACTACACAAACAGAAGGGCACGGAAAATAGGAGGGCAGAGAATCTACCTCCGGATTTCAAAACATCCAATTAAGCTAAACTGCAAGCAAGTCTTCAATTAGCTAAACTGAAAGCAACACAAAAGCACAAATTCGTGATTAATTAGCTACGTGTGTCTTTCTTAATATCTTCATATCACCAGGACCTTCATCAAATAATCCCAATTATTAATTTACCATCTTAAGACTCTGGTTGCTGCTTAATCAATGGGTTAATGGGTATTATTATCTCAAGAACCCACTTTCTGAGTAATTGAGTATGATTCCATATGAAGAACAAATTAATCTCAAGCAAAGTTTCAAATCAAGGTTTCCGATCTACTTTGTCCGTTCAAATTAAATTGGGTAAATATATCTTAACTTCGAGAATATTTAATAAAATATGTCACAATACCAAATAAATTTGAAAAGTTCAAAAAACATTACAAACTTAAAATGTTGTTATGGCACTTAAAATCATGTCCGGATAACTTTATTTTAATGTAGTAGTTTAATTTAATTAACCAATAAAGTTAAGAATAAACTTAAAAATAATAAATGATTGAGAGACTATGTTTAGCTCTTTCAGTTGAAGATGATATATGAATATGGTATAACATTCTTTGTTTAAAAATACTTACTCGCATGGCTATTATTCTGGACAGGACTATTAGTCCCTTTGGTTAGAGATCACATAATGACCAACCAAATGCAAAGTACATGAACATAATTCCATAACATTTTATTCTTTTGGAGATGAATCTTGAGTTTTATGTCTTAACTCCACCATCTACAGCCAAATTATGGCCAGTGACAAATTCAGAGTCATCCGAAGCTAAAAAAAGGGCGGTGTCCGCCACACTCTCCGCCGACAGCATCTTCCCCGCGGCTTTCAACCCAAAGCTCGGCTCGAACAACTTTCCAGCATCCTCAGCCTCCACCTTGTAAAACGAGCATAGTAACGGCGTCACCACCGGTCCCGGTGAGACACAGTTGACGCGTATCCCGTACGCGCCCAGCTGCAGACTCGCCGACCTCATCAATCCCAACACCGCATGCTTCGACATCGTGTAGTCCGTGAAGAACGGCCTCCCAACACTCGCTGCCACGCTCGCCGTGCACACGATGCTCCCTCTCACGTTGCCCTCCACCATGGCCTTCGCCGCATGCTTCACACACGCCGCCATCCCGCGGACGTTGACCGCCATGAGCTTGTCGTAGTTGGAGAGGTCGAAGTCCATCACGGTCTGCTTTGAAGCGCTGCCAATGCCGGCGTTGCTGAACATCACATCGAGGCGGCCGTAGATCTTGACTGTGGATTCTATCAAGATTTTGACCTGGTCCTCGTCGGCCACGTCACAGTGGATGTAAGTGGAGCGGTCTGGACCGATCGATGCGGCTACGTTTTGGCCTTTGTCGTCCTGGACATCGGCGATAACCACGGCACGTGCGCCATGCAAGGCAAATTTCCGTGCGGTCGCTTCACCGATGCCACTGGCTCCACCAGTGACGACTGCGACCTTTCCTTGAAGCTTTTGCATGGTTTGGCTGACTGAGACAGTGTCGATTGAGTCCGCCATTTTCTTTGGGCAAGGTTAAGCAAATAATTAGGTTAAGCTGCTAACTCAGCTACTTCCCTTAAACCTAAACGGGAGTTGGCTTCGTAAGAAAAGACCTCCTAATCATGAGAGATTTTTCAACGTGTGCACAGAACACAAGGTACAAAATATGATGTGATGAAATAAACACATTATTCAACGGTTAATTAATAATTCAATTATCAACAATCACATTATTTGGTTTAAAATTTTGATCTCCATAATATTATCTTATCATTTGATTTTCAAAACCAAATTTTAAATAAAATGACGTAAAAATTGATGATCGGAGAGGTCAAAGTCCATTAAGGTCTGCTGTGACGTGCAGCAAATGCCGGCGTTGATGAACATCACATCGAGGCGGCCGTAGTTCTTGACTGTGGTCCTCGTCGGCCACGTCGCACTGGATGTAAGTGGAGCGGTCATGACCGATCGATGCTGCTACGTTTTGGCCTTTGTCGTACTGGACATCGGCGGTAACCACGGCACGTGCGCCATGCAAGGCAAATTTCCGTACGATGGCTTCACCGATGCCACTGGCGCCATCAGTAACGACTGCGACCTTTCCTTGAAGCTTTTTGATGGTTTGGCTGACTGAGACTCTGTCGACTTTGTGGTCCGCCATTTTCTTTTGGCAGGTTAAGCTAATAATTAGGTTAAGCTGCTAACTCAGCTCCTTCAATTAAACCTAAACGGGAGTTGGCAGCATGATTAATATAGCTTTGTTAAAAATACCTCCAAACCACGACACATTTTTTAGTGTGTTCCTAACATTGGATGTCATTAAACATTTGGTAAAATTATTTTAAAGTGTCTTTTCGAAATTACCTTGCAAAATGGAAAGCCTTCGATAGTCTTGAAAAAGCAGTTGAAATCTCAACTTGTATAGAGGTGTCAATTTCCCTTTGAACTCTAATTTTAGCCAATTACTCCCAAAACTTTTATAATTAGCCAATTTCCTTCTTGAACTTTAATTTTAGCTGATTATCCTCCTGAACTTTTATAAATAGCCAATTTTCCTCATAACGCTAGATTTTTAAAAATTTCATCTAATTTTTTATCCATTTTAATCATGCGGACAACACATGACAACTGTATAGAAGCAAAAAGAATGGAAATTTGGATGGATGAAATTTGGATGAAAAAGTTAAAATCTAACGCTAAGGGGGTAAATTGGCTATTTATAAAATTTTAAAAGGGGGGCGGGGGGGGATGTAATAAGCTAATGTTAAAGTTCAGGGGAGAAAAGCTAATGATAAAATTTCAAGAGGATAGTCAGCTAAAATTAAAGTTTAGGGGGGAAATTGGCACCTCTATACAAGTTTATGGGGCAAATCAACAAATACCTCTTGTTTTTTAAGCAGATCCGGGGTGTGATGATGTCAAGAAAGAGCCACATCACCTAAAAGTAACGTCGATGAAGGTGTGTAGGTGCACTATTACATGGTGGACATTGTATGCCTAAGGATATGTAGTGTTGCGCTCCTTGTTCCAGACACACTGAAAAACCTCCATTACCACCTTTTCTATCTTCACGCATCCTGATTCATATTATATATATAGAGTAATGATAGGAAGACTAAATGATATAAAAGTTGATGATTTGATTATTATGTAAGGGGTTGGTACTATACTTATTTTTTATTGGTGACACATATTTTAGTTTGCAAATTTAGTAAATTTAGTTTACCTATCATTAACTATATATGGTTGGTCAAATAAGTAGTAGCTAGTATTATAGAACTTTTCTAAGTTTTCTAGGTTGGTGAGGATGTGACTCGTCACATTTGTCATTTTTTTTCGAGAACAACTTGGCACGAATGCGACAGTGACTTCTGGTATCAATAGTATACATTGGCAGTATTAAACCTTCTAAACATGTGATTATATGCAATGCTATTAGACTGTCTTAGTGTCCATGTGAACTTTGAATTTCCTTGTGCTATATTATTTATCTCAGATTGGGTATTATTTGACTCAATAGCATCCAGGGCAAGCATCCGGTGCAACTCCCTTTGTCAGACCTTTGAATCAATTCAACAGAAAATAAGTAGTAATGAACTTTTTGTTAAGGTACACTTACGATATTGTCTCTCCCCGTACACTTTCGATATTGTTAGTCTACGTATGGTCATCTCCAAGAGAAGCTCATATTCTTATACCATATTGTATTCTAAGAAGCAAATTTCCTCACCAATGCTTTAGCTAATCTAAGGCCAAGTTTTTTACGTACTTGTGTTCAAAATCGTACTATTCCTTATGAGGTCAGAAATGCGCCTTTTTTTTTCTCAGTACAAGCAGTAGTAGCTTGTTCTTAGTCCGGCACCCCCGTATTCCATGTCTCCCAATTAACCTTGGAACGCACTACAAATAAATGTAACTTATAAATTTGCAATATATTTCTTTAGGACAGGATGCAAATTACAATTGTAAAACATCATATCTAGGTGATAATTGGAAGTCGGGTCTCATTTCCTTATCAAGATCAAGCAACCAAAAGTCTACTGTATATAAACCAACCTTATAGATCAATTTTGCGAATTAAATGATGTATTATTAATAGCAAATAAGCACGATAATTAACATATAAATAATAATTCAATAAAAAAAAAAAAAACCATATCACATGCCTTATAAAATTTGGTCTAATTAATATCCTTAGCATTACCCTTTATTTTTTGGAGATGAATCTTCAGTTTTTTATCTCAACTCCACCATCTACAACCAAACTATGGCCAGTGATAAATTCAGAGTCATCCGAAGCCAAAAAAAGGGCGGCGTCCGCCACACTCTCCGCCGACAGCATCTTCCCCTCAGCTTTCAACCCAAAGTGCGACTCGAACATCTTCGCAGCATCCTCAGCCTGCACCTTGAAAAGCGAGCATAGCAACGGCGTCACCACTGGTCCCGGTGAAACACAGTTTACGCGTATCCCGTACGCGCCCAGCTGCAGACTCGCCGACCTCATCAACCCCAACACCGCATGCTTCGACATCGTGTAGTCCGTGAAGAACGCCCCCCCAACACTCGCTGCCACGCTCGCCGTGCACACGATGCTCCCTCTGACGCCCCCCTCCACCATGACCTTCGCCGCATGCTTCACACACGCCGCCATCCCGCGGACGTTGACCGCCATGAGCTTGTCGTAGTTGGAGAGGTCGAAGTCCATCACGGTCTGCTTTGACGCACTGCCAATGCCAGCGTTGCTGAACATCACATCGAGGCGGCCGTAGATCTTGACAGTAGATTCTATCAAGATTTTGACCTGGTCCTCGTCGGTCACGTCGCAGTGGATGTAAGTGGAGCGGTCAGGACCGATCGATGCGGCTACGTTTTGGCCTTTGTCGTCCTGGACATCGGCGATAACCACGGCACGTGCGCCATGCAAGGCAAATTTCCGTGCTGTTGCTTCACCGATGCCACTGGCTCCACCAGTGACGACTGCGACCTTTCCTTGAAGCTTTTGGATGGTTTGGATGACCGAGACAGTGTCGACTGGGTCCGCCATTTTCTTTGGGCAAGGTTAAGCAAATAATATGGTTAAGCTGCTAACTCAGCTACTTCTTTTAAACCTAAACGGGAGTTGGCAACATCATGGCTTTGTAAGAAAGGACCTCCTACTCAGGGTAGAGTTTTCAACGTGCACAGAACACAAGGATACACAATATGATGTGTTATCTACTCACCAATAGGAAATAAACACATTAATCAACTGTTAATTAATAATTCAATTATCAACAATCATATTATTTCATTTGTAAATTTATTTTAAAATTTGGTCTCATTGACATTATCTTATCATGTGGTTTTCAAAACCAAATTTTAAACAAAATGACATGAAATTTAATGATTGAATTATGGGTAATATGCAGAGAGACCAAATTTGTAAACCAAACGATGTGTCACAACAGAAAATAAGCATGTTAATCAATATTTAAGTAATAATTCAATCATTAGCCACCACATCATTTGATTTGAAAATTTGGTTTTGAAAATTTGGTCTTCCTAGCATTATCCTTGGATTATTAATTAAGCATTGATTATCGTGTTTATTTTTTTATTGGTGACACATCATTAGGTTTGCAAATTTGGTATATAAATTTGGTCTACAAACATTACTCACATAAAACTTCCCTCCACTTAATTATATAATAACATATGGTGTATCTGAGCACATTGAAAATATTCTCACTAACCTCCTTTCCTTCATCATGGTTCATGTTATATATGGTCATTCAAATAATTAGTTGTATTATAGAGCTTTCTAAGTTTTCTTGGTTGGTGAGGTGTGACTTGTAAGATTGCGTGGGATCGATATACTTATCATTTTTACGAGAACAACTTGGCATGGACATGTTACTTCAGTGACTTTTAGTGTCAATAATACAATATTATATACAAAAACACACATATAATATGGGCTTGTGCAAAGCAACGCTGCCCTACTTCTATGTCAATGGAAATATAAAAGTGTGTATATATATTATATAACTTTTGCATAATTCATCATATCAGTAAAAGAAAGAAAGTCTTCCTTCCATTACTCATATAAGAAATGTTATTCTTACCAAAACAGCTCGTTAATGGGAGTTGGTTCCTGTTTCCGTTGTCATCCAACTACAAGTTTAAGCTTTTTAGTGTCGATGTGAATTTTGAATTTCCCTGTGCTATTATTCTACTCAGATTGTTTATTATTTGACTCAATAGCATCCAAGGCAAGCATCCGAAGGAATTCCCATTGTCCAGACCTTGTTTGAAGCAATTCCCATTGTCAAGATCTTGTTTGAAGCAATCCCCAATGTGAAGACCTTGTTTGAATCAACTCAATAGAGAATAAATAGTAATGGATGGACATTTCGTTGCAGTACACTTTAACGAGATATTGCCAATCTACTTAGTTTCCATCTCCAATAGAGATTAAAAAGAGTGTGTGAGTATCACTACCCTTCTCCTATCATATTGTTTTTTGAGAAGCAAATTTCCTCGCTGATGCTTTAGCTAATCTAGGGCCAAGTTTTCACATAATTGTGTTCAATATCGTATTGTTCCTCATGCGGCCGGAAATGATTTTGTTTTTTCCTCGGTACAGGCAGTAGTAGTTTGTTCTTAATCCGGCACCCCCGACCACGTCCTTCAATTCACCGTGCACTAAAAATAAACGTAAATTACAAATTTGCAATATATTTCTTTAGGAAAGGATGCAAATTATAAATTTGCAGAGTCATATAGGTGATAATTGGAAGTCGGGTCTCATTTCCTTTGTCAAGCAACCAAAAGTCTACTATCTAGCTATATCTTTTGTTCTTTGGTAGAAGATCCAAAACTCAAAAGACATTATGTGTATACATTAGAGAATTAGACGATACAAAATTATGAATAATACTAACAAGTCTCATAATGTAACAATATTAAACAATCAGACATGCACCGATACGTAGTATGAACACAAATAAAATTGATACTAGCGCTTGTATAACAATTCGAGCGTGTTTATGCCCTTTGGTGTTCGAATTTCCCCATCCCATACGATCATCCACTAGTTCACCATAACTACAACTTGCAGGTGAATAAGCTTTTCTTCTTTGGTTTGTTGATTTAGATTCCCTATCAAACTTAAATAACTGTCAATAGATCTTATTTGGGGATGAATTAAACATAAAAACAGTACATGATTTACCTAAAAACACCGCGTCTTTTTTCGTTTAACAAAAGACCAAACACTTAAAAATAGTAAGAAAAAGAGAACAAACCAAGAATCGCCAACTCATTGGCGAACAAAGCCACCGTCCACCACCATGTCATGTCCGGTGACAAACTCAGAATCATCACAAGCTAGAAACAGCACCGCATCCGCCACGTGCCTCGGCGTCAGCACAACCCCTTTCAAGCATGCGAACTTCTCATACGACTTCTGAACTTCTCCCATTTCCATCCCACGCGCACGGCACGTTAACTGGGTGGCCAATGCGTTCGGCGAGACGCAGTTCACCCTGATGCCGTGCACCCCAAGCTGCCGGCTGGCCGACCGAACCAACCCCAGTACCGCGTGCTTCGACATGCAGTAGTCCGTCCTAATCTCCATGCCGTGGTTCGCCGCCACACTTGCCGTGCACACTATGCTCCCCCTCACGCTCCGTTCTACCATGACACGAGCTGCGTGTTTAACACACAAAGCCATACCACGTACGTTCACATCGAACAAACGGTCAAAAGCTGAAAAATCAAGGTCAAGAACGGTCTGATCTGATCTACTAACAATACCAGCGTTGCTGAACATGATATCTAGCTGCCCATATTTGTGCACTGTAGCTTCCACCATGGTCTTCACTTGTTCTTCATCGGATACGTCACAGTGCACATAGCTGCATCTATGTGTACCAATAGATTCGGCTACTTGACGGCCTAGCTCATCTTGGATGTCGGCAATCATCACCATGATGGCACCATGATCGGCAAACAGGCGTGCCGTCGCCTCACCGATGCCGCTTGCTCCGCCGGTGATTATTGCTACTCTGCCTTGTAATTTGTTGCGCACTGTGCTCATATTAAAGTTAGTATGGTTTGTTCAACTACAGCAAGACAATATAAGCGTTGTTTAGTATAGGATGAAAATTACGAATTTAGATCCTCTTCGGACCTAAGTATCAAGAACTTAAGGACCAGTAAATTCGTTTGTGTGAAAGAAAAACTGAAATCCTTAATTAATAAAAGTTGGGTCAACGAATTAATAGGAACTTTCAGATTCTATTTAAGTGATATGATTTATCTAATTTTTGGTTCGGACATTGAGATCCATTCAGATCTCTGTCTAAAATTGCAATATCGTGTCAACTAATCAAAATTGCAATGTCGTGTTAGTGATTCGATGAACGATGGGTTGGGTCCCATTTCTTTTGTCAACTAATCGGAAGTTTTCTTTAATTTTTGTTCTTTTGGAAGAAGATTCTGCCACATGATGTATCAGGAACGTAGAAAAGTGGGAGGTGGATTGTCTACAATTCCATTTTCATTCTTTTTATGTTTTTTTGTGATGTATGATCACGGTTAAGTCACGTTAATATTTTATATTAATTATTTTATAAAAATAATAAAATATAAATTAATAAAAATATAAAATATTAACGTAATTTAACTGTAACCATACAAATAAAAAAATATAAAAAAAGTATCAAAATGGAAATGCAGACAATCCTCCTTCAGAAAAGTGGCCTCAATTATGCATTGGAAAAAGGAAATGGGCTTTGGCTTCTTTCGAATCGAGTCATCTTTCTACATCACATGTTTGTACATATGCGAAAAAATGTATATTCATGGCTAATATTTTGCCATGCTTCATGGTAGCACATTGTTTATTTTTTATTGATGCTTGAAATCGAGTTCTGTGAAAAATTACAAAATATAAGCTGTTATTAAACACACACACACAACGAATTTATGTGCACATGTAAATCTGTAACTAGTAGGGATGGAAGGATGCCTATTTCCAAACGAAATAGCCAAATGTTGATGTTAAAACACTGTTTAACTAACTACTTAGTACTACGGTCTAATGATATTCATCTTCACTTGTAAATAAGAGGTCTTAGTTTGATTCTTTCCAAAAATGAATTTGAACCACATTACTGTTAGCCCATTGTGAGGCTAAGATCATATCCTCCATCTTAATGTAGATAATATCGTTTGTTTAAAAAAAAAATATTAAATAAACAGTCACACAAGGATGTGTGGCGTAGGCACAATACAACACTCCTCGAAAATCATGAAATTCAATATAAATTAAAACTGAAATTGAACTGATTCATTGTTCAGAAGCACAATGTACTTTCGAAAATGCCCCTATTTTAATTGTGTAATTTCAATATTGTCCGACAAACCAATGTAAATTTGGATCGTCCATTTTTTTGGCACTGTGCTCAAAATCAGTCCGCCATTTTTTTCTTCTTTCCTCATTGCTGAACATCTCTCTCCCATGAGCCCAAAAACCTGTAGGATGATTAAATAATTTAGTTGATGGTTTGATTCATGGGTATTTATTTTCCACTTCAATCTAAGTACTCACTGTGTCTTGCTTATCAAACTGTTTAATAAAAGACTTTGGATTTCAAAAACCGTGTTGTATTAAGAAATGAACGATTCATCATGTGTATCTTACCTTGTTCCCAAAACCGTCAATTTGTTGTATCACCATAGCCACTAAAATCTCCAGTTTCGTTGGTCTTTTACTGAGATGACTTAATCTCTGGTATAAAAAATCACTAGCTCTACAGTTAAAAATTCACCTTTCCGGTCACAAAGAAAAATTTCTCGTATTTGAAGTCTTCCGTTCCCAATATGCTTATACAAAAAGTTAAAAACAAACGAACGGTCACAATGTTGTCTCATTTGTTGTCGTTTGCCTAACATTTGCATCAGCTTTCACTGTTTTCATTTTCTTCCCTGCAGATTTTGGCTTTCTCTATTGTTTGTTTCCTTTTGGGATTTCTAACGAAGCATCCAGTGACCAAAAACAAATTACAAATAAAAGAAAACAATGTACATGTAGAAATTGGAAACCATGGTTTGTCTGATACATAGGTAATTTACATTCTTGCCCCCTAGGGAGGGGCAGGGACAACAACCAAACTCAATAGAATCATGAATGAGCAGTCTGTAATCCTGCAGTCATTAGGCCTTTTAGCCTGGTGATCAGCAATGATCCGAATGAGACTCGTAGAAATCGCTCGGGCATGGTGACATGACCTCTTGCTCTAGCAACTGCAATACCTGGTTCATTGATGGCCGGTCATCAGGGTTTGCATCGGTGCACCTTGCCGCAATTTCAAGAATTGCTTCCACGGTTTCAGCATCCGCATCTTTGCACCTTTTGTCTACTACTTCATGCAACCTGTTTTCTTTCAATTGGGTGTTCATCTGCAGATTAATGAATGCATGTATGAGACAAACCATTGTCTTACATGAAAAATATGAATGCATGTATCTGTCTTCGTAATTTTATGAAGGAAAGGAGCTTACCCAACCAACAACATTTAAGCCTCGTTTTACAAACGTTGGATCAGTTGGTCTTTTTCCGGTCACAAGCTCTAGCAATAGAACTCCGAAGCTATATACATCTGACTTCTGGGTGGCTCTCCCACTTTGCAGATACTCTGCAATAACCAAAAACCAATTGATTAGCATCTCCATAAATTTCATATTTCAATATTATCAAGCGGTTGGTTAGTCGTCTCGTATTTTGATCAAGCAGATTTTTAACTTTTAGGGCAGGGATAATTCATCCAGCACTCATTTAGTTGTGTGATTATCAGATGCTCTTATTTGGAGGACAGTAACATTCACCAAATAGTAAATCATGGTCAGGATGTCCGACATAAGTGACTATATCGAAATCTGTAATGATTGAACTGTGCAATCACCATAATCTAGCTCTACCATATATACTTACAGAAGGAAACAGGGTGGTTACAAAATGCATACAAGACCATAATATGGGAAAACACAAACCTGGAGCCAGATAGCCAAAGGTGCCAGCCACCACTGTCGTAACATGGGCATCCTCATCGACCAAAAGCTTTGCAAGACCAAAGTCAGAGACATGGGGATCCAAGTTTTCATTTAGAAGAATGTTGCTCGATTTTATGTCACGGTGTACTATCTTCGGAGAGCAGTCATGGTGCAGGTATGCTATGCCTCGAGCAGAACCGAGGGCTATTTTTAAACGAGCATTCCAGTTCAAAGGCTGCTCTTCCATCCCATGCTCTAAAGGAGATAAAGACAATAAGAAAAGAAAAAAATGAGAATCAAATAAGCATTCACATCTATCTAGCTAGTCTGTCCCCAAACAAGCATTCAGTTATCGCACATTCTGAGCGGTGATACTTACCATGTAAGAAATCATCTAAACTGCCCATAGCTAGATAATCATATATGAGAAGCTTTGAAACAGGGAGCCTGCAGTAGCCTCGCAGGTTAACTAGATTTATGTGCTTAATACTACCCAAGATCTCTAACTCCCTCTCAAAAACTTGATCACATCCTTCCCGACTTCTATCAATCCTTTTAACAGCAAAAGTACCACAATCATTCATAACCATTCTGTATACGGTGCCAAATCCTCCCGATCCTACAACATCCTCTTCATCGAGTGACTCTAGCTTTTCAATGATTTCACTTGAAGGGTAGGGCATATCACCATGGAAAGTAATGAGTTTTGTACCTGTCAAATGTTCAAATTTTTGTCAGCAACCATAATAAAGTTTGAGTTTATAACTGTATGAAGTCCAGAAAACATTGAGCTTACTTGCTTCTTGATTTACTTGCTTTTTAACTTCAGTGTATTTTTTTGCCACTCTTTCCTTTTTCGATGGTAACCGAACCCAAAGGAAGGTAAGGAGAATGAAAAATGCAATGCCCAACGCAGACATTGCACCAATGAGAACTCCTTTGATATAATGAGAAGATCGTTTAGAAGGCACTGGAATATCCACAGTGAATGCAACAAATTAGCATAAGCAGATTGCTGCTTTTTATATAAGAACTTGGTTAAATGTGAGTTACAAAGTTACAGAACCGCATTTTATAAAACTTGTCGTTCGCCTATAAGCTGATGAAAAGGGATCGAGAACTTGCCTGCTGCTTCATCACTTGTAGCAGTATGTGGTAGCACTGCAGGAAATCCCAGTGAGGTCCGACAGGGCTTGCGCACTTGTTGGCCACAAAGATCTAGATTGCCAATAAACCTATGAATGTTCAAGGAAATTTCAGAACAAGACACATTACACAAATGCTTAACACGGGAAGAAGAGAGAATATATTGACAGTTCTATCTGTACTGCACATAGTGCACAATTGGTGCCATATAATTACTGAAAAGTTAGTGGAAACATCTTTATTTGTGAATTAATTTATCAACCAACTCAAAACTTTACAGCCAAATCAGTCTTTGAGTGCACGCACACGTGCGCGTGCCACACACACACAAGACTCGGTCACTTGGGAAACAAGAGTGAGTGTGTGTTCGATTGGATTAGGCCACTTTCAATCAACATGCATGTGTCGACAGAGACAAGACAATTTTGGAATGAATGATGTGATGAGGGTATGAGTACTTACGAATTGTTACCAAAAGTGCTTAGAACTCCAACGTCTGGGATTTCACCGCTGAAGAAGTTGGTGGACAAGTTCCTATTACATATAGAGGCAATTATACCATTGAGACCCCAATCCAACTAAAAAACTGTGACATAGAATACCATTTGGTACTTAGTTATAATTGGAGCTTACAAAGAGTGTAATTTTGAGAGGCGGCCGATAGATGAAGGTATAGTACCCTTTAATAAATTGCTTGATAAATCCCTAAAATTTCATTGGAAAGTTCATCAAAACATGAGTAAATATTAAAATCAGTCAGTTGCAATTACTAAGATGATAATTAAGCGCCCTATAGACTCCGTACCGAAAAATATAAGAACAAAGGCAAAAAAAATCTTACAGTATGGTGAGATAAGAAAGGTTTCCGATATCTGATGGAATGCCACCTTGGAGATAGTTAGCCCTCAAGTACCTAACAGATAGAAGACAAAGTATGCAATGCCCAAATTCAAGAGTCACATAACATAAATAGATGGCAAAGTGACAACTAAAATATATTTTACAACCCAAAGAAGAAACAGAAAAGAGCAAAATCACTTCAGGTTTCCACTTACAGAGCCCTAAGCTCAGCACAATTGGTAATTTCATTAGGAATGTTTCCATGTAAGCTGTTTTGGTGAAGTGCCCTGGTTCACATTGAAAAAGCACAATCAGAAGAGAATCAAAGTTGGAGAACTTCTCAGCTGAGT